AACAACAACAACATCACTCTTTTCTTTAAATTCCTTGACTTCATCTGCTGTTGTTAGTTCTACTGCTGGGGGTCCTGTTTTCTTTTTCAACCAAGTGATGATTTCAGATTCTGTGCGGCCACCTGTTGAAAGGAGATCCAAATATTGGGATTATGTCTACAAAATGTTCTCCTAAACAATACTTTGGATCTTAATATTACAGACAAAAGTTCAAAACATAACCAAATCAAGTTTATGTGGGCAAGTTTTTCTTTCTAGCCAGGAACACATTTTGAAGAGACTTTTCAACTGATAGAAGTGTTGAGTTGGTTAATTCTCATTGGTCCAAAAAAAAAAAGATCAAAGGATGAATCTAATTTACATTAATCTTTAAAAAAAAAAAAAAAGGAACAAACGATAGATGGTTAGTGTAAAAATTTGGCAATGATGAATCATCACTTAGCGAGGATGGCCCATCATGTAAACTATCATCTCATATTACTCATCTAAAGTGAAACTTATGTTTGATGTCAGCTGCTACTTTACAATTTTTCCTGTTCTAGAAGACGAGTAAGACTTAAACTGCTCTCGCTACTGAAATGTGTTTAGTTGAAAAAGTAGATAATTACTGTACAGTTCTAGACGAAAAGCTAAAAAATTAGGCCGAATTTTCAACCTCTAATAAACACAATTTTCATTGTTTTTGTACTTCACGCTAATTTGATATTACAGGACTCGTAAGTTGAACAAAGAATCTAACAAGTAAGATCATTTTCACAGAAAAATTTTTGCAATGAACACCGTGTTTGTTCAGCTAAGACAAGAACCTTTTGTATTTCCAGTATTTTCGGAGACAACAAAAGATTTACGAACATTTTCGTAGAGGCCGGAAACCCAATGAAAAAAAAAAGAGCAAGTGATAAATGTTACGAAAATGACTAATTACAATAAAAATTGATTTTCGCTGCCAACGACCTAAATCAAAATACTTACATTTTCAAGAAAAACATGGAAATTAGCAATAAATATTTTAGAAGTCTGTTAATAACATGGTTGCACGTGTAGTAGTACAAGTCTGCGCGTTTCGTTCGCGAATTACGACTTGAAAACATTGGCTTCACTTCAAACTAACCAGAATACTCCACCGGTTTTCCCGATCTAAAGAACTTGAGGGTTGGATATCCCTGGACTTGGTACTTTTCACCGAGTTTAGTTTCTTTAGTGGCGTCAACTTTAGCAAGCTTGATGGCCGACCCTTCTTCCTTGAGTTTCGTCGCTGCTTTGGCATATTCAGGGGCAAGAGCTTTGCAATGTCCACACCACGGTGCATCTAAAACGAAAAAAATACGCATGAGATAAACTTGTGATCTTATCGTGTTTGTAAAGTGACCATATAACAAACTCGCGCTCACAACATGTACGCTAACTTACAAAATTCAACAAGAATATGCTCATTGTCGCTTATAGCTTGATCAAAAACAGCTTCGGTCAAGACTAAGACATTTTCTTCTTCTTCGATGTCTGCTCCAAATGAAAGAGCCACAAAACTGAGGAAAAATGTTAGATAAAACTTCATCGTGGAAAGATTCTCGTGGTCACCCAATCGTACGACAGTTCAATTTCTAGAACTTGGAGTAAAGAGGGAAAATACGTGGAACCTCAAACCGGAAATAACTTTACATACCCGTCGTGTCTTGCTGTGATTGGCTGAGAGGATAGAGCCCGCAAACTGCAGTCACGGAAGTTAAATCGAATTGAATAGTGACACGTCTGTGGCAAAGTGAAGAAGAAATTTACTTAATTTGGTTGATACCAGCTGAAATCACACGTAAGTTGTGGACAAAAAAATTGTCAGGACCAAAATTGCTAATGAACAAAAGAATTCTTGTGAAATTCATGGTAACCTAAGCGATGCACCAACTAGTAACAGAATCGGAAGCAACCTTATTTCACATATCTGTATATTTTCTTTATCTTACGTCGGATTGCAAGGGAAAAAAGTATGATGAATTTCCCGCCCCACAACAACTAACACATTATAAGTGTATATTCACGCGGGCGAAGAGGTCTTAGTTTCTGTAATTGTTTAACCGGTGAATTCTATGTAATAAGAAACTAATTCTAAAACTTAAAAATTCATAAGTACATGACAGGCCCTCTCATCAGAAATGCACTCGATCAGTTTTCGTTTTAAATGAAGTTTAAACACAGCTGTTTTACCCTGCTCTTTTTCACCCGATCAGGAATAGAGTTAGGAAAATATTAATTAAACAAAAGGCTCTCGTGCTGTTTTAGTGAGAAACCGAGATGACAAATGATTTATGCGTTAAACATGAAGTTTTTTTTATTCGTTGAACCAAACTCCTTTTTTTAAGTCCTCTGTTAGTGATAAATAATTAAAAAAAATCTACTTAAGAAACGCGTTTTCACATAAAAAAGGCAACGAGCCCTTTAATTTTATTCCTCCACATATTTTTTTCTTGTTCATTAAGTCAAAATATTGATACTCAGAACAAAAGGTTTTGTTTATTTTGATTAAAGGACAGCCTGAAGTTGTTCAGAAAACGATAAGCACTACTCCAGATCAAATCGTTATCGAAAGCCTTGATTCGTCTGTCCTTATTTAGATTTAATCGTCACGGTCAAGCCCTTATGAATCGTGTTAGCAATAATCAGCATATTTTTCGGTTTTATGGAGGGAGCATTACCAGAGTCACGATTTTTTAGGTCTCTGATATTGTTTTCCAGTTCTGTCCATGGTTCACTGTAATGTCTTGGCGGAAGAAGGTTACCGCGGTACTGAGTTGTTCTTCGTCTTAAGGACTGGGCATACCGTAAGTAAAGATCACGTTGGTCTCATTTCAGAATAACCCATGACGTGAGGAATCTGGGGAAGAAGGTAGTTTTATGACCGAAATAATACTTTAAAAATTTTTTTTGGAGAAAATTCCAGTTCAGAATTTAGCAGTAGGACATTCTATTCCCTAAGACAAACCTTGTTTAACTTCGTTTCAACTTAAATTTAGACACTTCGCTCCATGATTCTCAGCGAGATGATTTCATATCGGGGAGTGAGGGGAAATATATCCATAAGAAAGAACTCCGCAGCAAGAGTTAATTGTTGTCATCGACTGCAGCTGTATATGAGTGGGGTAAAAAAGGAAACCCGGACTTAAGCAACAACATAGCAAACATTAAACGAAACAAGATCATGAAGTGAAAGTTTCAGAAAGCCGTTATTTGCTCTTGACACGCGTGTTCTCACGTTGACAGTGGTAAGTAAGAGGAGGAGCTGGAGCAAGGGATTCGGTCGAAATATAAGGGCCTATGAATTATCACTTTCCCTTGACAAAGGAGAAAGGGGAACATGCTCCGTAGGATTCTTTATTTGCCGTACCCTTGCGCAGAAATAACGAGAGACACATTTCTTAGATTTCAGCGGAAAAGACAACATAGAACTGAGGTCTGAAAAATTTCATCACAGCCGATGTCAGGAGCTCATTGTTCCTACCGATGTTCACTGCTCCAACTTTGAAAGAGAGCAAAATTTATATATGATAACTGGGTCATTCCTCATTTCCTCTCACCTTCGTTTTTTTATTATCCTAACAACGTTTTTTTGGATGAGAAAAGGTGTTCTAACGAAGCGATCAATAAGAAACCTGCACATATACATAAACTAATCTTAAACTGATCTATTTTTAACGATGCAAGGAATTTCAATTTCCGTTTTTTAATGATCGAACCACAAACGAATAATGTTTTGACCTAAATTACGATTAGATTACATGTAACACTTTTGTTTTTTAAAAAACTTCAATGCAATACACCTGCTTGAAAGAGTAGAACAATCCGTTGATGGAAGGGAAAATGAAAACAATCGAAAGAGGAAAGTCCTCGCTCAAAATCCCTTTCATTTCCAGTAAAATTGAACAATTTTCCAGGGAAATGCCTCAGAGTTTCCACCGATTATTCCATTACAATTGTGAAATAAAAAATGTAATCCAATTAAATAGTAATAAGAAAATAATGACGCTGTCGCTATGATGTTTTATTTCCGTTAGATAAGCGTTGTAACGGTCCCTTAAATTATCAATAATCTCTCGAGCGGTCTCGAAGATGAAATATGTAAACAAAGCTGAAAATGAAAGCAAATAAGACATTCCTGCAACTTTTCATCACTCTTGCCTTTGTTTCATATATTTGTCATTATTGTTGTTATCAAAAATTCTTTGCTACCTTGGGAGCTGTCAATGGATTGTAAAATAACGTTGGAATATCACCGATGAAGGAAAGAAATAACTGGATTACCAGCAACGGAAGAAAAATCAAATTGCGAAGTATAAATCACAAGCATTTTAAAGGCTTCTTCTATAAGAAAAACCGGTATTTGCCATTCATAAACTAATGCAGAAGCAAATCAGATCGCTTTTTACATCTTCAAATTGTTTACGTAGATTGGGAGCATGGTATACATCTTTATTAATTCTATTCAAACTGCAAAGAAAAATATTTTGAAAATTGTTCGTGTACGGCATGCCAAAAAGGTATGGAAATGCATATGGTTTTCAAGCATTTAAGGATGAAACTCATCTAGATCGTTGGCACCGCTACAAAATATTCCGGAAGCATTTTGAAGGCCAGACTAGCTTCCAAAATTTTTATATAATAGATGCAGATACACTGAATAAATAAACATATTGACTAGGAGGCCTGAAATTGTTTTTTCCTATATAATTTAAAACGGTCATCGCTGTAATTTCAGTCCAAAAAAATTAAATGTCACATACAGTTTTGAGGAATTGTCGTAAGCGAATCGAATCATATCTATAGACATTTATCAGAGGGTGCATTCAGCTTACGATTTACTGCAGCAGAAAACCTTTACACCTGTAGCTATCGATTACTATTCGTTTGTCGTTGATCCGCTCTCTGATTGGTTCATTTTTCATGTTAATTGCTCACTTGCGTTGACTTTGTCTGTGCTGTCCAATGAAACAGCTCCGAATTTAAAACCTTTGCACGAACATCAGGCATAATAGAGAGCGACCGTGTAAGAAGATCGAAAGCTGAAGCGAAAGACGAGCTTCAGAAAGCTTGAAAATTCAATTTCTGGCGAACCATGGACAGAACACAGATGTTGAAAACCGTGGAAAGCTTGAGAGACCAGCTGAGAATTTCGCGTTTGCCGGTTTCTATATGCAGCAACGAGTAAGTAAACCATGATCTTGTCATTTAAATTTGTAAATCACAAGTTTATATCATGAAGCGAATTTTAATTTGGGAGACGGTCTGCGTACGCCGTTTATCGTTTTCCTTTTAAATTTTCGCTAAAGAATTGTGCCAGTAAGTTATTTTTTGCGACTTAAATATCCACAAAGTTTCATGCAGCGAATATATTTGGCTAAATAGTGTGTTTTCATAGAAGAAATCGGTTTATGGGCGGTTTTTTTCGACGGCTTTAACATAGCGAAATGCTTAATCTTTACTACGGCTGAATCACCGAAATCAGTGTTCAGAGATTAAATCAAAACTGTCTGTGTCATTCCCAAGAAAACAGTTGAATTTTCCGACTATTTTTTTAATTTCTCCGTGTGGTTAAATGAACATGTGCCCTTTTTTTAAGTCAGGGATACCACAAGCCGAACTAGGAGTGAAACCTTGCTGCAACCTGCGTTAACAAAGCCTTTCAAGAGACAGGTTGAATTTACTTTGTGTTTATGAAAATCGCGTTTTGCCTTGAAACTCTGCTTAACTAAAATCTTTGAGGAGGACAGCTGAAAAATATTTCACTCTAATTGAGAAGAAAACCCCTCGAAGAGACCTTCATTTTCACCGAGCGCTTCTCATCGACACGTTCGAATCGCGATAACATGAATCCTTCACGCGCTTTTCTTCAGAACGGGTAAACTTTACAATCCTTTTAGTGATTGACACTTCTTTTTTAATTATTCCTTTCAGGTTAAAGGAGTATTGCACACAAAATGGCACAAAAGATCCCCTTATTCATCCACCAGAAAGACGGGAAAATCCATTCGCGGAAAAACAGAAATGTACCATACTTTAACAAACGGAAAAAACGGGTGAATCGCCAGAAGAGAGGATAGAAGTTTTTCAGTCTCAAATTAACGAATTTTTAGCCAGCTATTGCATTGTTGTCATGGAGGAGTTTTAAATTAAGCTCAGGGTGGACATTCGGTAACACTGGTCATGCATCTTTTGCATGGACTTTAACATTACTGATGATTTGAGAAAGAGATCTATTTGTGTGATGACCATTTTCGACGAGGAGTAATTAATGTTCCTGTATCCATCCTTGACAAAATCGAATATATGATACATATGCCTGTTTTTCTGCCCTCAGCCGTTGTTTGTTTTACATAACTTCATTGAATTATGAATTTGAAATTGTTTCTGTCCTTCATGTAAACAGTGGACATCCCGTCGGATGTGAGAAAACATGGTCGATGTCTACTCAACGTTGAAAGTAAAAAGATCTAGTACTCGTGATAACTTGAAATGAATATCAGTAAGAGTATTTGTAGTAATTCTTATTCCGAAACAACCTGATCAACAATTCACAAAATCCAACCTATTCAGGTTTGCATTTCAATTTCACAACTATTTCAGTTAGCAGGTGGGAGTTACTTTACGAATAAACTTCACTGAATCAGGGCTATTTTTTTTCTTTCATTATAATAACAAAAGACAGATGTGGTTTTACTGCCATTTAAGAAAAGAAATTAATTGTAAGAAGCATTATTGTCTGGACCTTAAGACGTCCAGGTCGGTTCCGGCAGAAATAATCAAGAATTGCTGGATTGTAGATTTCTACAAATATAACTTAAAGTAACAAAGCAGCGAAAATTAGGCAACATGTATCCCCTTTAAATTTACGCCTTTGCTAAGATCGGAGCCGTTAGCTAACGAGTGGTCAGTTATGACTAAAACGTAGACAAAACAGCCCGTTTTTTCAGCTGACGCTCGTCTTGGGTTTGGACAAGACTTTAAGTTTACGTGCACCATGTGGAAATCGCCATTTTTACATTCTTGGAGTTAAAGAACATATCATTGTTGAGCCACCTTGAATCTTTTCCCAAGTCAAACAAAATTTTCATCTCAAAATACGCTTGTTTCCTTAAAGTTGGTGTGTAATAAAAACATTAACGAACACAATCTCTTACAGGTCATGAATTTTTAGGAAATCTGAGAAACAGATGGATCCAATCGTCATAACTTTTTTGCTTACACGTTTTAGGTTCGTGTTCGGTTAAGTCGTAATCATGTTGAATCTACCATGAAATGGTTATGGCAAATTACCTCCATTACCTTCTCCACCTAGGAATATCTCACTAATTTCCGACGATCAAATCAGTCAGTTTATCAAAATCATTCTTACAACCTCTGAGCAGGGTTAGTTACTTCCGCGAAGTGTAAATTATTTCTAGATCTTTACAGATAAGGCGGATTTTTAAATAAACTTTTTGCGTTTTCTCGAGCAAACTGAGGCCAAGAAAACCCGTATGGTTGCACACCAAAGAGGGAGAAAATGTAAAGAAAATAGCTCTTGATCTTCTGGATAATACTTTTAAAAGGCAATTTTCTCAACTGAGCGTAAAATTTGAAAAAAAGTGAAACTAAACTGGTTTTACTCTTTTAAGTCGCTTCCCTTAAAATGCAAACTGCGCTGGAATAAAGGAGAAATTCTCACAGAAAATGACAAAAAGCATAGTATTTAATTTAGTTATTGTCTGCTGAAGGTAAAGGCATAATTAACTCAGAAGGGATAAAGTATCGGAATAATTTACGGCCTATAATCAGGCCTAATCATACTGGGAAAGAAGGTACTGATCGTTGACTACGTAAAATAATTGCCGTTAATAGTTCTCTTTTAAGGAATTAATTTTTTTAAAAAATATAGTTAAAGGAGAATTTATGAAGCTTGCTAAGTTTCCATAAAATTTACAGCTAAGAGCCAATTCTCCCCGCTCCCGCATTTACAAGAAAACTATGACACAATGACACAACTCCGGAAAAGGTCTCTTACCGGTTGCGGTGCACGCAAGATATTTCTCAGCTGAGCATCACCACTTAGAAAATATATTTGTACTTTCGTCGTCATGATGGAACATCAGCAGGGAAAGCTAGGAGGAAATGCTCTTGCTCAGTCAAGTTTGCGTTTCACGTTGCATGTGTGTATATCATGTAGGTACTCGCGTTCCTTCGTGTACATTTATCAAACGTGTTGCAAGTTGCCGCAAAACGCTGCGTAAGTCATTAATCTTGTGCACCGCATTGCTGTAATTTATAACATTTTTCACGTTATTACAGTGATTTCAAAAGGTAATGTCGACCGCATTACTCGGCAAAAAACCAAGAAAATTCCTGCCTACAAAGAAATATCTCAACTTGCTGGGTATAGTGATTTCATTAGTTTTAACTATAAATCAGTTTTCTCTTTGTAGACAACCTTTTTATCTCTCGTGCCGCCTCCCATCGCACGCTGTCGCTCTTGTAATTTAATCTGTTCCACCAACTTCGCTTTGTCGTGCTTGGAACGTTTCTGAAGGGGATCTTTCGCTTTTTTACTTCTGTCCACACCATCACATATCTTGCTCAACTTGTAACAAACTTCTTTTTCTGTGTTGACCTTATCAACCCCTTTTAGGTACAGTTGTTCTATATCCTCTTCATGTTTCTCTGTGTAAAATATGAAGTTTGCCTTTGTAAAATTTCACTCTTTCAAATCTACATATCAATTCTCTTAACTGTCTTCCATGCATTTTCTATTATTTTTCTCTGACAATTTTGTGTTAAAAAAATTCCCAACTAGTTCAATATTATTCTTCCTTCTCATCACTTTAATGCATGCCATTGATGCATTAATTACTCCCGATAGTGAAAGTGTTAAATAGTAGTATTGATGAAATTCTGAGCCTGCAGTGGGATGGAGGGAAGCAGTAGTCTAACAGTCAATGTGTTGAACTCTGGATCAAAGGTTAGGGTTGAAGCTTTTGCATACAAAATTTCACAACTGTTGTTTGGAAATTTTGCTCAGTTAAAGCTCAAAGTTGTAACTTCTAATTCATTAATGACTTACCCATGAAAAATTTACAGGCGTTGACAAGAGTTATTGGCGAATATCCATACTTTTTCAAATGTTTTGATCTACAAACATCCTCTATTGCTTCTACCACCTGCAGCTCTCTGGGATCTGAGCTCTTTTTTGCCAAAAACTTGTCTAGCTCTAGAACACAAAGTAAAGGACATTGTCATTTTTGTTTTTACTCATGTTACCTCTGAATAAAAATAAATAGAGGAAGGGAGAGGGCTAGCATCTACTTCTTTTTCCAAAATAAAGGCCTCCTATTACTCAAATACATGTAATACTTTTCAATTCAATTTTTTAATATTAAATTTGTTGTAGACTCATATGAAATATAATAAAATATAAAAAATTCAGTTTCATTTGGTAGATGTTGTAAACTGTACACGTTTTAGTAAATTGCATTAAATGTAGAGTGAAGAGTATTGTTTATTGATCCCTGTACATTAAAATATCAATAAAAATTTTCAATCATGGAAAAGCTAGCTTCTTGAGGCATATCAATGTAATTGAGCCATCTCTTAGTAATGGAGAAAAAATCAGTCATCTTACATAATTATCTGGTGCACATTACTTGGCAGCATTCTACATCTGAAATCTGATTCCTTAATAACTTGACTGATATTTCTCTATGGCCAAATTTGGTCAATATTTATTGAATATTGACTAATAGTAACAGATTAAAAAGTTTAAGAAACATACAGAGCTCACAGCAGTAAATAAAAAAAAAATTGTACTAAACATTTACCTTTCATAACAGCACTACAGGTCTCACAATAAACTCCTGACATGAAAGAGGTTAATTACACAAAAAAATCAAAATAAGAACTTGATCTAAAGTAACTAATTAATTGTAACCTTGGTATGGTTGAGAGTCAATTTTGGGTGAACAGCTTTTTCAAGATATGTATTTTTAGGTGTTGTTAGTTTAGAATTTTCTGCCTTCTTACTCCAGAGGGAATTTAATCAAAAAGTGATAAATTTTTCAAATGGAATGAAACAATATTAGCATGCAAAAGCTGCAAATGATCTACAGAGATTTTTATTTTTTTGATTGTCTCAGAAGCTTCTAAAAAGTAATTGATGAACATGGAGAGCTTGGAGTAAGGGTTAGTGTCAAAGACAAATCTATGAAAAAGATAAACCAAAAAATGAAAAATACAGCCAGAGAGAGAGAGAAAGGGAGAGAGGAGGGAAAAACCACTTCTACAGCAAAAAAAAAAAGAAAATTAAAAAAAGGTAGCCAGTTTGTGTGTTATTTTGTCAGCTTTTTTGATCCTCATAGACAAATTTGATTAAAGCACAAACCTTGAGATATATTTGGAGGCAATATTAACCCAGATATAGGAAGGCATAGCACTACAGCCAAAGCAATTCTACATAGAATGAACATTTTTGAACCTAAAAAAAACATACAGAAACACAAGGTGTCAATGATACTATGATCTGACACATGCCATTCAATAAGTTTCATAAATGTTCTGATTTCTTGACCAGATTTTGAATTGTATTTGGGTTGTACCTTTTGATTCAACTACTCAATTTTTTTTTTTAATTTATGCAAGTATTAAAATGTTTCAGATTTACTCGTTTTTATCTTGACTCAAGAAAATAAACTATTAACATAAAATATTGTAAGACCTAAAAAATTTGCTGTTACAAAAAAAAGGGCAAAGATAGATGAAACAAAAAAAATTAAGAAAATATAAAATTAAAATTTAATTTAATTTAGAATTTAAATGCCTGGAATATTTGCATACCACTTAAATTATAGGGCAAAAGTTCCCCAACCCCTCTCTTTATGGCTAAATGTGAGGAAATTGAAATAACTCAGAAATATATGATGTAAACGAATGTAACATAATTTTCGTCCAAAACTCTCATCTCTCATCTCTCATTTTGTTAACTGAACTTTTTCTGGAGAGGTATGTAAGCAAGGTTGAATTTATAACAGTAGTGTTTGTGGCTTACAGACTTAAGTGATAAAAGAAAATAGTAACCGACCATCAGAAATTGTTTTACGTCAAGGGCCAAAAGTGATTTCATTGATAGTTGTCACACTCTCAAAATCTATGCTCGTGCATATTTATCTAATCTATGTTTGACTTTCACCTGAGTTAATCATCTTCCAGTCCGTCAGCCAATGGGTATCGAACAACGCACCTCCAAACCAACGCGGCAATTTAAAAACAAAATCTCCAGCTGATAATCGTAAATTCAAGCCAAGCTTTTAAATATTGATCTTTAGCAAGATTAGGACAAAAAAAAGTGCTTAACAAAATAAGGGTATAATGAACACTACCACCTTATTTAAGTAAGGGTCCATCCAGCGATTAGCGGAAAGATGACCATTGGAAAGCCAGTGAGCACTGAAATTGACCGCGAGAGCTTAAAAAATTAGCTAGTAGGACAATTAATAAACCTAGTCGCAAGGAAGATGATGAAGGTTGACGCTAACTGGCCTCAAACTCAACCTATTTCCCTGAAATGAAAATAGTAAGAACACTATTACAATATATTAAGTATACTTTACCTGACTGAAAACTATTTCATGTGCAATTTGAGAGCTGGACGAAGTGACACTCCGGAAGGAAATGCCTTACTCAGGTCACCCTACAGGTCAGATGCCGCGTAGCGTTAGTTATTTGATACATTCTTTGAATTCTTTGCTGAAATTTGGAATAATCGATCTCAGAAAATAACTCATAGATACTTTGATCCCCTGAATCCGCCTCATTAATACTCAGACGAATAAAAATCACTCTCCTTCAGTTTTCTCGTGATGTTTCGAGAAATTTGGTGGGTTTTTGGGGTACTTGACTCCTCTCCTCTTCACCAACGCTCCTCCAGATACATAGAAAATCATCGAGGGCACAGCTCCCAAGACTGCGCAGGGCCGAGAAAACCAAGAAAATCACCGAAATTTTTTCCCATTTCCAAGTGTAGCTCTCCTCCCAGCTTCAGGCACTTGTAAGGCCGATTGAGGCGCAGGATCCGTGTCATTCGTGCCAAAGTAGAACGCGTTGATATGTCTCCTACTACGTCATAAGCCTCCTTGATATGCGAGCCTCGTTTGTTAGTTATTTTTCTACCCATACGATGTGGACAGAATCCGAAGAGGTGAATGAAAATGATGTAGTAGTCTTATTAGGAATTAAACATTTATTTTGTGTTCAGATTTTAATTTCAATATCATAAAATTCAACTAGTAAGAAATTAAGGTAATCAAGCCTCAGTATGGAGCTTGATAAATATTTTTAAAATTTGAACCTAAGAGACATTTCTCCTTCCCGCATTTGTGTCTATGCATTGACACATTTCTATATAGGCCTCTAATTGGTTGCTGCACCCAAAGAACATATCAAGGCTAGGCAGAAACCAATCAGAAAATAGACATGGATCTATGACATGATAATGGAATGTTGCCTTTGTGTTTCTCTTACCTTATCAAGTTGATGCAAGATTTTGTGCAAAGTGAAACTTGCCTTTACCTTGTAAGCTTGTGAAAAGTGTAGTAGTACCTTATGAGATTTTTTACTCAAGGTGGATGTCATTTCAAAAGAAAATTACCTCTACTGCTTAGCATCAAGCCATTAAAAATTCCTGTCTAGAAGTTAACATATATATATTAATTTGCTGGGTAGACTATTTTTTTGTGTTCAACTATAATTCAGTTTTCACTTCAAAAGATTTTTTATCATTCTCTTCTTCAGCTCCTCCATTTTCTTCATCTTCATTATCTCCTCCTTCCTCTTCTTCTTCTTCCTCCTCCTCATCATCATTATCATCTCCCGTGCCTCCTCCCATCCCCTGCTGTCCCAGTTGTGATTTAATCTGCTCTGCCAGCCTCTCTGCAGCTCCAGGGTCATTAATATCCACATTCATGCGATGAATGCCATCATCATCTTTTGAGGCTGATTCAGTCTTCACTTGCTGTGGCTGATTGTTGAAACGGTAATCAAGGGATTCTTTCTCCTTTTTACTTCTATCCACACCTTCACATGCTTTGGTCAGCTTGTAACAAACCTCTTGTTCTGTGTTATCAACCTTGTCCATCAACAACTGTTCTATGTCCTCTTCATATTTCTCTGGGGAAAAAAAAGGAAAAAAAACTTGCCATTGAACAAAACATTAACCTTTTCACTTCCAACCCCAAATATCAATTCCCTCTCTACCTTTTTTATTACAGTATTAGCTCTCAAAAAACTGAGCCAAATGATAGCTGAATTGCACAATGTTGTCATTGTATGTTTCATTCTGTTCAAAGTTCAAGGCTATAACTTTTAATTAATCAATAACTTACCTATTAAAAATCTGCAGGCTTTGACTGTAGTTGGTGGTGAATAATCATATTTTGAAAAATACTTTGTTTGGCAAATGTCTTCCATTGCTTCTACCACCTGCAGCTCTCTTGGATCTGAACTCTTTTTTTCCAATAACTTGTCTAGTTCTTAAACACAAAATAGAGACCATTATTATTTTTTGATGTTTGCCAATGTTACTGTTGTAACTGAAAGAAATGGTGGCAGTAGGGAGGCTAGCAGGTCATTCTTTTTCCAAGATAAAGGACTCCTGTTATTGAAAAGGACCAAATTAGGCTAAAAAATGTACCTTTCATAACAGCACTGCAGCCCTCGCAAAAAATTCCTGAAAAAAAATTAATGACAATGGAAAATCAAAATGGTAATTCTACATTTAACTGATTCACAGTAATCTAAGTATGGCCAAGAGGAAATTGGGGTTCTACACATTTTTTCAGTACATTTACTTGATCTGGGTTGTTTAATTACGTGAGAAGTAAAGCTCAAAAGTGACATGGATTAAATAAATATAAGCATACAAGACCTATAGATGATTCATGGAACTTTTGATGGGTTTTCCAATAAAAATTACTGGCTGTTTACCTCAATGGTATATCTTGTCTTGAGGTTACTTTTTGAGATAATATTTGACAGCTGTTTTGCTTTTAATTGATCTATTTGAGAAGAATTTAAGCACACACCTTGGGACATATCTGATGGCAATTTTACTCCAGAAATAGGAAGGCACATCACCACAGCTAGTACAATTCTACACAAAATATACATTTTTGAACCTAAAAGATATAAATAATCAAATATTACATCAATTTAATTTCTGAATTCTTCTGATTTCTTAACTTTGATTCAATTTTAATTTAACATTTTGATACTGAAATAATTTTGTTTTCATTCATTTAACCAAGCAATACAGCATATAATTTTTTTCTTCAGAATGAAAAGTAACACATATAATTTATTTTCATTATTTTAAATCAAATGCCTGGAATGTTTGCTTACCAGCTAAACTGGAAGCCAAATGTTTTACCAAATTCTTGTTTTATGGCTACATATGTGGAGAATGAAATTACTTCAAAGCATAATTATGATGTAAGCAAGTACAATATATATTTCTTTCATTCTTAACTCCAATCTAACTAACACTATGTTATCTGCTGAGTTAATAACACAGACCTGGTTTGAAAGCAGATTTGAAATGATTAATTATTGAAAACTTGTGGCTTACAGACTTCTAGTTTAAAAGAAAATGAAAGAAATCCTATTGTAACCGACCATCGCGACCTTTTGAATCAAAAGAGGTCAGACTGTTACATTTTAGAGATAGAATTTCGGCAATGGTCACACACTCAAAATGTCTGCATGTGCACTTATCGGATGACAACTATGAATAAATCTAAACATCACTTAGTTAAATAATCTGTTCGCCAGCCAATGAGTGTAAAACACCGCAGCCTTTCAAAAACAAAATCTTCAGCTGATAGATCATGAATTCAAGCCAAGCTTTCAAATTATTGACTTTTTGGACGTTTTGGAAAAAAGACAAAAACCCTCAAGGATATAGTCAGTAAGAAACTTGTTTCAAATACAACTTATGGGTCCATCCAACAATCAGAACCATGAAAACCAAAAAGCCTGTACGCATTGTACCCGAGAGTAGTAAATAACATTTGCAAGCGGGTCACGAACTAGTCTCAAAGAAAAATATAAATCTGGGTTTATCGTGCCTAAAACTTTCAAACATCTCTCCCTTTGAAACAGAGTAGAGAAAGACAGCATCACAAAATGTAAGGTATACATTACCTGCTCGAATCTTATTTCAGTTGCGATTAGAAGAGGGACGAGGTGACAATGAGCCAACAATAAGATTAGTTTATCGTGATTAAAGAATAAAAGGACAAATTTCACCAGGCGTTCCACGTGTTCTTGTGCGATGTACTGGTGTCTAGTTACAAGATTTCTATCCGAGATCTTGAACATATTTCATGGTAATATTTGTTCTCGTTCGACCCGAAATTCTTTATTTTATGCCGTTTTTACGCTAGATTTTCATCATGGCGGGTGTACAAGTAAAAGAGGGAGAATACACAACCACAATTTATGGGCTGGTGAGTGGTTTTTACCTGAAATGTATCTTACTGAAATGATGGCCTGTTGTTTATAGCGGTTGCTCGGGAACAAACATAATTTTGTAAATATTGGTGGGAACAGTGAAAATTCAACCAACTTAATCCATATTCTTTCGAGTAGCGGACTTTGTGATAATAGTTTGGTAATAGAGAAAAAAAACCCACACCAAATCATATGCATTCGTCCTAATAAAAAGCCGAGAAGATTGATATGTTCAACAACTTTCAAGTCTTTTCTCTGTGATCATACATGTACAATCTACTCCCGCTGCAGAACGCCGAAAATGTTTAACATTTGCTGATACTACATGTATCTATTATTGAAGTTAGGATGTAATTAAGAGGGGGGTTATTATCATCAGTTTTCCATGAAAGATCAACAATTGGAGTAAGGATTTCCTCACTACTTACTGTATATTGCTTCTGTGGCCTGGTCTTATCTTCTGGCCTCTTTCATTCGTTTGAATAGAGTGCATAAGTCACTTGCACTATAGCTTTTGAAAGGGTAAATAACATTATCCATAAAATAAACCAAATATGACCTGTTAGTCTCAGCAACACAAATTCCTTCTCATCCTTAGGGATTCAAGTATTGATATGAATATCTGCAGATGATGTTATTGACATTTCAGACAACAAGACAGTGCCTGGTAGATGATGAAGTGTCATGTTTACCTTCACTTGTCCAATCAGCAATATTTTGTTGGGTCCCAGCTGTTTGAAAGACAGAGATCATTATTCACCAATGACATTTTGTTATATTTTGTGTGGCAGATAAAAAACCAAAAGTTCCATGAAGCAATACAAATTCTGTCACAGGAGCTGGAAAATCATCCAAAGGTATACTTCTGTTACTGAAACAGTAAGCTTTTAATGATGTTTTATTCATATACTTTAATTGGATCTATCATTTGTGCATTGCATTCTCTTGATTAAATTTCAGTCAAGAGCAGCCCTTTCACTGCTAGGATACTGCTACTTTCAGGTTCAAAGCTTTGATGCAGCTGCTGACTGGTGAGTACTCAGCCAAGTTCTTCTATTTCTTAAACCACCAGCTGTTCTTAAATGCCAATTTTAGACTAAGGTGCTAATGGGTGGAAACAGAATTCATGCACAATATTGATAACAGGGTCAATAAAGTATAAAGTGATTGAGTTTTCTCTTTTGTTATTGTGGTGGATGTTATTTTACTCATTCCCCAAAGTGATGTCATTAGTATTGAAGTGCTATCAGTAAGAGGCCTGAAGGGATAGTTAATCAAAAGACTGTACTTAAAAGATTATAAAACAGTTTTTTGTTGTAAGACTAATTAGATCTATGGAACTGCTGTCGCCCTTTGAAAACATGGACACAGTCTTTAAAAATTTCAAAAGAATTACACTTCTTCCAATACCTGGGTGTATTGTCTAAGTCTCACTCCATTGAAGTAATAAGCCTTTTTTTATGTCCTACCACTGATGTTAATTGTGATATTTTTACAATGTTTGATTGGTCTTCATTTTGCAGTCATAGTTACTAGTAAGGTTGAATCTTGTTGTTTATAGCTATGGCCAACTGACACAGATTCATCCAGAGGTTGATGAATACAAAATGGCTTATGCTCAGGTTTGTGTTACTGACATTGAAGCATGATGTAAGTTTGGTGGACTGAAGTTATAGATGTCCAAGTTTGTTGGGTAGCATAATTGATTTAATCATTATACAGTCACAAAAGTTCTAGAAACTTATCTGTCAAAAATAAATTTTGTATTTCTTTTGCAGGCATTATATAAAGCATTTATGTATCCAGAGGCAATGAAAGCAACATTTCAAATTGAAAATCCTACGTATCATGCAAAGGTACCTGATATTATCTCCTTGTAACCTTTCACACCCTAAGATCAGTATGCATATGCTCCATGCAGTACTCTTTAGGTTTTTTTGTGGTACTGACAAGATGAATTTGTTTAACAATCAAGAACTTCTCTAACTGATGATGATTTTCTTTTATTCTCATGACCTTAAGATGTGATTCAGGGGTGATATTGTAAGGAGAAGTAAGATGTTAATCACTTTTAGGGGTTAAAGGGTGAAAGGGTTAAAGAGCCAAGTTAAATTCAAGATCTTTAGAAGTCTGCAAGAATAACATGTTTTTGTTCTTGTGGGGTAACTATTGTCCCTGTGGCTAAATTTATACAATTTCAAGTTGAAAAGTGCTATGTAGTAGTAAAATTTGATATGATTCTGTCATGACTTTATTTTTTATATTGCAGTAGTGTTTTACATGTTTGTGGGAATTATTTATCCCCCTATACAGGTACTGAAGCTCCAGGCAGCTATCAAATATGGAGAAGAGGATCTGCAGGGGGCAAAGGTGAAGCACAACAGCATTAAATTAATAACAAACTTTTTTGTAACAGAGACAGTTATCCACATCTGTCAAACCCTAATTGTATATTAGGCTAAAACTTATCGTAATCAGATCACAAAATGACTTTGAGTCTATTGATAATTCTTAGAGGAGGTGCAAGTTAAAATTAATTTATCACTGATAGTTTGTGAAAATAATTTTTAGTCATAAAATGATCATGGTACATGTATTTTTATTCCAGAGTATGGTGGAGCAGTGTGCTGCAGATGATCCTGACACTGAAATCAATCTTGGATGTCTTCTCTTCAAGGTAATGACATATTTGGAATGTACTTATGCTTGAAAATATGAACGCATGGTTCAGTGCGTCTTTTGATAACTAGTGAAAAGTACTGACATCCATTCAAACCCTAAGCTGTAATCCTATTCCTAAGGTAATGTCTCTTGCCTAAAGCTGAGCCTCACTACTTGTCTGTCCATTTTTAAATTTTTTAGGAGGGAAGGTATGCAGAGGCATGCCAAAAGTTTCAGACAGCAATGAATATTCTTGGATATCAACCAGGTAGGAAATCTCTCATGACTTCAAATATCAAATGCAAATTTTAGTGCTTTGGGGTTAGGGGGGAGATATTAGTCAAGTTTTTAAGGACAGTTGTAATTTAATTTATCTGTAATGTAAATGTTATTTTCTGAACTTGAAATAGAACTTTGAAGGATTGCCACGATGACCTCCTCTATTACTGTTGAACAGACTGTTGCTTTCATTGTTTTTCCTCTATAGGGCAGGAAACCCTTCTGTTGTTTAATTGGCAAACAATTTAAGATCCATACTGTTCTCTCATGTGATTATCACTTGTCTCTTTTCAGATTTGTCATACAACATAGCCCTATGTTTTTACAGCTTGAAGCAATATGCACCTGCGTTGAAGCACATTGCTGACATTATTGAACGTGGAATCAGAGAGCATCCAGGTTGGACAAACAATATCTCTTTCAAACTCATTTTTGCTGCATTATAAGGAACTTTATGTAATTGGCAGTTGAACTCTTGGCTGACATTTCCAATTGTTTACTTGTTTCATACTTATCATGACCATTTTGTTTATAAGAATATTTTTATGTATTTGTGCTGATCTAACATTTCAGAACTAAGTGTCGGGATGACTACAGAGGGTATTGAAGTCAGAAGTGTGGGGAACACCAAGGTGAAATCATGTTTAGATTCTACATCAAATTTATATACAATGATAAAACTTTTTTGTGTATTTTTAATAGTTATGGATGGGGACAGAAGAATCATTTTTTTGTCGGGGAAGAAGTGGTTGGTTGTATCTTTTCCTTGGGGAGACTGGGGTAGATGGTAAGATTGATGCATTGGTGTGAAGGGCATAAGAGAGTAAGTTGCCTGAAGACAAGATCATTAAACATTTCAGTCCTAAGATCTAAGGATCAATTCTGGGTACTCTCTGACAAATGTTTGCAATGATTTCAGCTCTAAAATTTGGTGTTAAATCAGACAATATCGCTCTGATGAAGGGCTAACGCTCGAAATGTCAGCTTTTTTTACCCCTTACGGTGGCTAATTTACATTTTCAACTTAGTTGTTAACACTAAATTACCTGCTATACTCTCCCACCGACACAGCACCACAGTTTCTTTAGAAACTTACCCCTTTATTAATATTTTGATCTGTAAGTATAATTCATATTTTATTATAATATCATTTTTTAATAATGTTTTACCCCAATTACAGGTGTTACATGAAACAGCTTTGATTGAAGCATTCAATCTTAAAGCAGGGATTGAACACCAGCTGAAAAACTGTAAGCTTCTTGTCATCTTTACTGGCAGTCTGAAAATTTTGTCATCACAGAAATGAGCTGTGTGAGGTTGATAATTAATTTTAAAGTGATTCACCCTGCAAATTTTTTGTGGTTTGTTTGAATGGGGGTGCCACATAATAAACTAGTAACAATGTATAATGTTGTAAAGAGTGCACTAACCGATTATGAATGATGGCTAATTTTTGTTGACTGTTGATTTTATTGCAGTTGACTCTGCACAGGAAGCCCTCACTGATATGCCTCCAAGAGCTGAAGAGGTTAGTGCAATGTTTTCATATACTTTACTTAGGAATGATATTTTTTAGACCCCTCTAGGATGGAAATGATTAATGAGATAAGAAAGAGAAAACTTTACTTGAGTTTGAAACAGTTTGAAATGAGTTATTAGTAAAAATGTTTATTAATATTAGGTTTGGCTGAAACTCATTTCACATCAAGTTGTAGGTAATATTTTGGTCTGATGTATTTTAATTTGGAAAATCCTCTGACATCTATAGATCTGAGCTACAATGTAGGTTAAGATTTGTTTCTGCTATGTACAACAAACTTAATTGTGGCTTAGAAAAATGTGTGCTTAACTCTACTGACAATTTCTTTATACAATTTCAAGGAACTGGACCCAGTAACTTTGCACAACCAAGCACTTATGAACATGGAGGCCAACCCAACTCAGGTGAAATGTTTTTCAGAATTTGGTAGTGTACATGTAAGTTTTTATGAACAAATTGGAGTAGTTCTTCTTTCTGTCCATAAATGGTTCTATAGAAATCAGAACATGTTTGGAGAGGTGAGTGGTCGGTTTGGGTTTGAAAAGAACCATGATAATTCCATTTTCATGTTTTTGCAATACTGCAAACAATGGTGGTGTACAGTATAACTATAATTTCCTGTAATGGCAAACCATCTCAATCATGTATACAATCATTCTTATTACTTGTTTTCTTTCCTAGGGCTTTGAAAAGTTACAGTTTTTGTTACAGCAAAATCCATTTCCTCCAGGTTAGCTTTGACATAACTGAGAAATAAAAGTTTTGGGACTTACGGAAATTATTTCAGTTGGAATTTGAATGTTTACTACTATCTCACTTAGTTAATCCCATTGTAATTTAATGATGTAGTGTTTATTGTTGACTAAAACTTGTACCTTGTTTTAAATATTTGATTTGAGGTTGCTGTATCCTTTAGATTCCAGTGCTTGTATTTTGAAACTCTAGAATCACTGAGAGTAATATGACCAATAAGTTATGATCTGTAAACAACATTACAACTACACAATACTGTTTCCATCCTTAAAAGCACAGTGTTCTTATTTAAAAAATGTAATATATTTATCTTTTGGTGTTGTAGAAACATTTGGAAATCTTTTGTTATTATATGTAAAATACCAGGTAAGAGTACTTTTTTTTGGATATCCGAAGAGTGTTAGATTTCTGATTTATTTGAGGAGGACTCAGAACAGGTCAAACAGATAGGTGGACAGTCAGCCAGGCAAACAGACAAACAGACAAACAGACAAACTGATCAGTAGACAGACACACAGAGGTGAGAGGTGCATGGAGTATTCTACAAAACGGTCATAATGTGACAGGTTGGACCAGTGTTGTTTGACATATCATGGTCCCCTAGTCATATTTTAATTACACTAACTTGTATACTCACTCTTAACTTAAAATACTTTGCTTTTTCTCTCTGTAGTATTTTGACCTGGCAGCTGATGTGTTGGCAGAGAATGCTCATTTGACATATAAGTTTCTCACCCCAGTAAGTGAATTAATTTTTCTTCATTTTGGTGCCCTGTCTTTCTTCCGAACCTCAACATGGCTTCTACCATTGTTTCTACATTAATTAAACATTTATTGATTAATTATTGGCTTTCTTCACTCTTTGAAAAACCTAAATGTTAGTCAATCTAAGAAAAGCACATATAATTTACTCTACTATTACTACTTGAGACACACTTCCTATCTCAGTGCAGCTCCCTGAGTTAATCCTGCTGTTTCAATAAAGAATTACTATGTGATCATTTTGTTGTTTGCCTCTCCCTAACAGTATATGTATGACTTTCTGGATGCTATGATTACACAGCAAACGTCTCCAGAAGAGGTTGGTATCATAAGCATTATTTAACCACATATTTGGAGGGCAGCCATGAAACAAAACCCTAAAGGCTTCCAAAGAGTGTCTTAGCACTTACCCATGAGCTTTTGGCCCAACATGAAAATGGCAAGGGGTCTGTGATGTATTGACTGAATCCCTTTGTATTCATTTTTCATGATTTGATAGCTTAAGTTAACTTACTGAACTTATCCTGTAATTGATTTGGTTTTTTTTTCCAGGCATATCGCAAATTAGATGATATGGCTACAAAACAGACAGAAACTTTAAGAAAACTGACAAAACAGGTTAGTGATATAAAAAGATGTTTGATCTCATGTTAATAATATTACAAGTAATAAGTATGATTAAAAAGGAAAGTTTGATTTCCCTGTGAGGACTCTAAGTTCTCCAGCCTTGAGATTGGGGGTGGCTTGCTGTGGTGAGAGAATCAGCCTTTCACTGCTTAGTGTGGTTTTGATTCCCAGATGTGGCTAAAAATGTTGGTTTCATTAAAGTTTTTTGTCATCCTTATGGTTAGTAAGAGTTTTTAGATGCTTCCCCCTTTAAAAAACACATTCCAAATCCCAACTAAATTAATAGACAAACTCAAAGTTATTTAATGTTTGTGTAACTATTTGTGCTATGTTGTTTGTACAATCGCTCTGACAAAGGGCTAAAGCTCGAAACGTCAGCTTTTTTACTCTTTACGGTGGCTAATTTACGTTTTCAACCCAGTTGTTAACACTAAATTACTTGTTTTATAAAGGTTCAGGAAGCAAGGCAGAACCATGATGATGACACTGTGAAGAAAGCTGTCAATGAATATGACGAGGCATTGGAAAGGTACATGTACATGATAAATCATCATTTTTGCCTATTTTTGCATTGCTTTCGTTGGCTGCTATTTGGTCCTTCACACAGTGTTGTTGTATTAGTGTTCAGAAATATATTTGTAAAGATAGTTTTCTTCTACTCATAGAGCTATATAGTTTTGCTTTCCACTTCTGTTCGGAAACATGAGAGAATTTTTTCAAGGTGTACATTGGCCAAAAACTTGTAATTTGTTTTGTTATAGGTACATCCCTGTGTTAATGTCTCAAGCTAAGATCTACTGGGATCGTGATAATTATGCACAAGTCGAAAAGGTAAGAGTGAATTATGGCCCAGCAAGTACAGTTGTTGACTGACAAGTGTCACGTGTAGGTCACATGGCATGGCGGATAGGGCTGTGGTCTAGTGATCTTTGACTCTACTCCTCCACCATTTTACTCATCGGATTTGTCCTCCATTGCCTGATTCAACTTCCTGCTTTAGCTTTGTCAGTAGCCACTTGATCTCCCTCTTTGCCAATTGGAAGTACAAATAATTGATCTATGCTTACTTGGAATTTTTATGCTGTTGAACTGGTTCACATTGCTTTCAAAAAGCCCCTTCAAGGGTGTGGAAAATAAACTTACTCTTACATGTAGGTGCCATATTTTATGGGGAGCTAGGCATGATGTGATCATTTGGATACTGTGGTAAATGTTATATAATACCAAGGCATAATTTAAAGGAGATTCATCACCATATCAGCATCTTGACAGAGTTTAGCTTAACCCTTTAACCCCTAAGAGTGACTGGCATCTAATTTCTCCTTACAATATCACCACTGAATCACACATTAATGTCATGAGAATAAAGGAAATGATCACCAACAGAACAAACTCTTGATTGTTAGTCAAATTCTCCTTGTCAGCACCTTAGTAAATATACAGAGAGCAGTATGGAGAATATGTATACTGATGTTAGGGTGTAAAGGGTTAAGTCTACCAAGTCTGTAATTTCCAATTTGTTTTAATCTTCTCCATCCTTAGCCATCCCCTTTTTATTACCTCTTTGGTGATTTCCGTTTGATCAAACTATCTTTAATGGTCCCTCTCTAGTTTAAAGTTTAGTCTTGTAAGTTGATTAAAACGTCTCATACATCGTGATTTCCAGCTGTAGCCCCTTAAGGTAAGGTGAAAACCCAAATCAGAAGCAAAGTCGTTCGGATAGGACTGTATGTTGTCACTGAAAAGATTAATAAAAGAGACTTAATTGATTAAATTTTGATTATCTTTGCTTCATCTGCAGATATTTAGGAAGTCTGTGGAGTTTTGTAATGAGCACGAAGTTTGGAAACTAAACGTTGCTCACGTGCTATTCATGCAGGTAAAGTACTTTAGGTTCCACATGCAGAATTAAGAATTTCATAAAGAGGAGAACTCTACAAAAGGCTATTAAATATTCCAACTGATAGGAGGCCGACATACACTGAAATTTGAAAATTAAGGTAGAGGTGTTTTTTTCTCTCGTCGACAGGAAAATAAATACAAGGAAGCCGTGGGATTTTATGAACCGATTGTGAAGAAACATTACGATAATGTAAGTATTGTTATTAAAAAATTGCCAGTGATAAACAATGCTGATTAAAATTCCCCAAAACTTAATAAATAATTTTGGAGGTGAACATTTCTGGAGTCTCATTGACCTCATTCTCTGTTCCTACGACAGGCCTTCGCTCGATTTTGAGAGAGTTTTAGTCTCTGTCAACTTAACCCCTTATTATTATTATTATTATTATTATTATTATTATTATTATTATTATTTTTAGCATTTTTTTACTTTCAGATTCTGAGTGTGAGCGCCATAGTGCTGGCAAATCTTTGCGTGTCATACATTATGACCAGTGCGAATGAAGAGGTTTGTTTTTGTTTTTTCCATCGTCGTCTTTGTTGTTGTTGTTGTATTTTGCTCCAAGCGTCAGTCAAATTACAATTGCGTAAGTTGTTCTTTTTTGTTCTCTTACAGGCAGAGGAACTAATGAGAAAGATTGAGAAGGAAGAGGTAAGATTTGAAAATGAGTAGTCTTGTTTGAGCTGATATTCGAAGGAACTTTCATTTAGAGTGTCTTCATTTACTTTTCTCTTTTTCAGGAACAAGTGGCTTATGATGATCCAGAGAAGAAGATTTATCATCTCTGTATAGTTAATCTTGTTATTGGGTGAGTTCAAGGCAATTTTTGTTTGATTGTCTTAAATAACCCCGGGTAACGGTGCTTTGGTCCAAATAGCACCCGCTATCGTTTCAACCTGTCAGATATAAAACGATGTCCAAACGGGTATTCGTCATTGATATTTATCTGCGCCAGCGCATGTTTTAATGAGGATTACTTGTAAGTTCGTGATGATATTTCGTTCGTTCGTATAAGTCATTGTAATTACTTTGCTCCGGTTTTAAGACGCCAAATCGACTCTCCCCTCCCACTTTTTTGAGTAAAACTGGGTTTTGTTTTTGCCTGATTAGACTACGAGCAGTCCTTCTTTTCGGCGAAGTCCATCGCGCATTATTAAAAAAAAAATCAGTCAAAAAAAAAATGTTGTTAGCGGTGAGCTCTTGGAGTGAGGCGCTCGATAATTAGGCTTTTTGAGTCGACTCACGTGACGGACTTTGCCGAAAAGGAGGGACTGCTCGTAGTCTTTGCCAGATTGGATGAGAAGATAACATCGTTGGTGTAACTGGTCTGTTGCACCTGTGTGTAGACTCGCTAAAAAAGAGCTAATGTAGGCTTGGAAGCTAGTGGAAAATGTTAAGTTAGACTATCCCCTCCAATGAGCTTCCCTTGTTTCTTTATCAGAACCTTATACTGTGCCAAGGGAAACTATGAGTTTGGGATTTCCAGGATAATGAAGAGTTTGGAGCCATATAATAAAAAGGTATATTACTATTTCACAAAAGTATTGATTTGCCGAAGTACCCAGGGTATTGTTGTTGTTATTATTATTATTATTATTATTATTATTATTATTATTATTATTATTTTACTTATATTGGTTCTTTCAGGTCTGAAGTTTTCTTGTGTTTCTTTTTCACAGCTGGGAACAGATACTTGGTTTTACGCTAAGAGATGTTTCCTGTCGCTTCTGGAAAACCTGGTGAGAAAACTGGTACTTTTATATGTTGAATCTGCAGGTTTTCGATGCTTCAATACAAAAGAAGTCTCTCAAGAGCTCTCCATATCGTCTTGATTATGCACTTTCTCTATTTCATGTCTTTTTTGTTTCTTCACAGGCCAAACATATGATCATGCTACGGGATAGCGTGATTCAGGATATTATTCAGTTTCTGGAACACTGCGAAAGTAAGTTTCACTTCTGCATGAGTTGAGTGTTGCGAACTGAAGTTCTTCAGTTGGAACCGACATCGGACTGGACCTGGTTTTACAAGAACTACAATGTGATTTTTTTAAGTTTTTTTTGTCACAGATAAAGTAGTTTTCAATTGACTGTCGTAAGTAATCTGGGATCGCTTTGGTTTTCTTTACTTCGCTCTGTGATTGATCTAGAAAACTCGCGTCACTCTCTCAATCAGTTGGGCCGGCAATGTTAGCTGCTCTTTCTTACATAGTTTCTGTACTTTTGGTATCCATATGGAAAGAATATTTATGTTTTCCTATGTTTCTCGTCACAGCTTATGGCAAAAATGTACCTGCAGTGGTCGAACAACCATTAGAGGAAGAAAAAATGCATCCAGGAAAAAACACTGTTACATTTGAGGCCAGAGAATTAAAGAGCTTGTTCTTGCGTTTGATTTAAAATACTACAATAGAATGGTACCGTCGCAACATTTTTAAAAATGAATCCAGAAGGAGAATCTACGAACACCGCAGGAATGCACACACGATTTGGAAAGACTAACCCATGCAGCAGCTACCAAGCGCAGGAAAGGATTTTTTTTCCCCGACCGAAGGTCAAAACAATTGCTATGTAAAAATGATATATAAAAATATTCATCTATCAGTGTAAATAACTATGCAGTTTCGGTGCACTCAAAGTTTTCTGCCCTGTGGAGTTCCCACTTGAGAAGTTAATGGAAAAATAGCCCAACAAACAAGTAGTCTTAAAACAACTAGTAATCACAAACTTACGTTTAAATAAAGTCTTCGAACTATTGTATACTCTTGTGTGATGTTACGAATATTTAATTTTGCATATAACGCAGATGAAAGACGCGGTTGAGAATTTTCTAATTGTTTTAAACCTATAGTTTTTTGTGCATAGTAACCGTGCACAGACTTCGTGAGATATAACGTGTATAGCGGGCTCAAAACCCCCTAAAGCTCCATGGATAACCTCCTACCCGGCCCGCTGCTTTATCTTATCACGCAACACACTTTCACCATATAACTCGTAGTGCGACGCGATCATAGAACTAGCGGGAGAGGGATTCAGACTTCTTCTAAATTAGTGACGTAGAAGGCCTTTTGCAACCCACCTGAAAGTTCGTGCGCTTTAATTACGTAGAGATGCATTTACAAATTTAAATTGGCATTGAAACACGGAAGAGTTATTCAAATGAAGAAATCACCTCCTTGCCTTTGTATTAACCACCGCAAACTCCTTGTGCTCAAGGGCAGGAAAGACAGGAAAGACAGGAAAGCTCGTATTTGAGCCACTTGCTTCTTTATCTTGCTACTTTCACCTTTAACTTCTTCCTCTAAAGTGTGCATAGGGTACCCTCCGAAAAAATATAGGAAAGGGTAGGGGGCAGTTGTACACACTAGAACTATGAAAAGGTTCTCTTTTCAATCTTGCCGCATAAGAAGAGACCCCTTTGATGGTTACAATGTGCCGGAAATATTAAACGCTTTATATAGCTGTGCCGCCAGGTCACCGCCGCTTTCTACTGAGCCGGTCTATAAGCAAGCGCGCTTTTGCCGCCATTGTTGTCTTTGAGCGAGGCTCGCCGCCACATATCGACTTGGAAACGAGGCGGCAGTTGCAATCCCATAATTTCAACGCGTCGCTTGCGCTTACACGAGGACAGCTCAGCAAAATGGCCGCGAAGATGGACAAAGTCGACATGTCTTTGGACGATATCATCAAACAGAACAAGAAAACTACAAGAGGAGGAAGGAGAGGACGTGGAGGAAGAGGTAGAGGGAGGGGTGGACCAGTAAGAAGTGGTAGAGGTCGCGGAATTACCAAGAATAGACCGACACCGTATTCAAGAGTGAGTGACAAAATATTTCTTCGAATTTCTATGTTGTTTCGACATTTTTGATATCACCGTTGCTAACTTGTTTTCTTTCTCTAGCCCAAACAATTACCAGACCGATGGCAGCATGATCTTTTTGATGGCGATAGTGGTTTCAGAGGAGGAAGGAACCGTAGCGGTGGTATTTCCACCGGCTGCAAACTTCACATTTCAAACTTGGATTTCGGTGTTTCAGATTCGGACATTCAGGTATTTGACGGTTTTTGTATTTCACTCATTATACCACAGATATATCAGGCGATGTTTACTTGAGCGATAAACTTAGTTGAGAATGATACTTTCAAAATTGGCGTGAAGGAAGGGAGATAAAACATCAATATGCAAAATTTGAATTCGTACCACGACCTTTTTTCAACACATCACTTCATACAGCTCAAATAAAACGTCAAAGGAAAAAAAATCGTTAGGACACTATTATCCCAAACCCTTTGGTCCAGACTACTGGAAAGTTTGGCGAACTGATGAAATAACTAAAGAATTTTTGTACGAAACTCAAGGTTCGCTTCTGGTAATTTTTGTAAACTTGAAAATGTGCTTTTTTTATTCTTGTTAAAATCTCTTTCTTGGCCCCTTTGATTGTTATGTCAGCAATCTTACAGATTTTACATCCGAAAAATTATTTGTGCGACTGATTGTCAATGAAATATTGGTGAATGACTATTGTTAAAGAAACAGACTCAAATAACATTACTTTATTATACATAAATTTGTGTACGTTTGACTTGTAGGAATTGTTCAGTGAGTTTGGAGATTTGAAGAAGGCCACAGTCCATTACGATGTTTCTGGTCGATCTCTAGGCACAGCTGAGGTTATTTTTCAACGACGTGAAGATGCGCAGCGTGCCATGAAACAGTATAATGGAGTTCCTCTTGATGGTAAAATATTTTTAATTTTTATTCATTGAGGCTGGTCAGCAAATCCTGGCTGGTAAGACCTCATCGTGCAGCCTTCAGTGACGACTTGGCCATTGAATGGGTTTGGTTACTGTTAAGGCTCATTCTTTCCAACACATGAAAAGCTGCCCTACTTCAGATGTTCCTCAGCATGCCTCTCCAGGTGTCAAAACATGGCCTTGGGTTCATTGTTTCATTCAGGAGCCATCTTGACCCCGCTACAGCTGTAGCTTGCAATGGAGCCATTCTGAGTTTTTCTGGTAATACTGAAAATGATGTCTTCCTAGCTGCTTTGTTTGTTGCTGAATATTTTAACCCTGTAACTCCTATAGGTGACCAGGACAGAATTTCTCCTTACATTATCAATACTATGTTAAGCAGCAAGTGATCAGAATCAAGAAGAATATCAATTAGGGGATTTATTTGATCCACTGCCAAACTTTCCAATCTATAATTGTAAGAATTTTATAGCAAACTGTAAGGAGAATTACTACTGAGATCTTGGGAGTGTTAAGGGTTAACCTACAGGTAATCTTGTGAGGAGCCATACATCTCCTGTTGTCAAACATTCTGAATGTAGTAGAGTTATGTCATAATTTCAATTTATTTGAAAGTGTAAGGTTTATTGCTATCATTTTTGTTTTTTGGAAATGACTGCTAATCATGGTGTTAAACAAGAGATGTGTGGCTTTTTCTGCTTCTTGTTGCAAAGTGAAACATTGCTTGCTTGTTATTTTGTTTTCATAAAAATATTGCTCATAAGTATGATTTATATTGCAAAGTGTTACCCCTTTGAGTGAGCAGAAAGGTGTTTACTGAAATGAAAAAGACTTGTTCAACACTAAAACTCAATAATTCCTTATTTCTTATACTTCAGTAGAAATTGCATGGAGTCTCTGCAATGAAAGCTGATACACTCCTTTAACTTATTTTCATAGTGTATCAAATTGTGAAGTGCTCTTAAATATTTTTGTCTTTGTTGTAAAAATACAACATACAACTGGTGAAATATTTTAATTGCATGCGAAGGAATGGGGTGGCAGGTAGTAATCAGGAAGGCCAGGTTGTGCTTTTCATGCAGCTTAATCATCTGATGTTATTAGAAAAATAATTGGTATTAATTTATAACACATATTTTACACTTTTGGTTGTGCATTGTAAGTCTTGTATTGCTTTGTATTGTAGGAAGGGAAATGATTATTGAGTTGGTGACTGGTTCATCAAATATTGGCAGTGGTGGTGGTGGTGGTGGAGGTGGTTTCCAAGGACAAGGGCAAAGGTACTGAATCATGAAATAGTGACCCATTTTTAGTTAATGCGTATAAGAATTCTGAAAGATGTTGCCAAAAGCTAAATTGATTATATGTACAATTGCATTCATCTACAGAAGGCGCCAACAATTTAATCAAAGCAGAGGTGGTAACAGTAGAAGAGGCAGAGGACGTGGTAGAGGAAGGGGAGGAAGAGGAGGTGGCTCTCAAAAGGCTAATGTTACAGCAGAAGATCTTGATGCTGAACTGGATGCTTATCATGAAGAGGTTTGATTATCTCCCTTGAATTTCCTTGCTTGTGTTTATTTATTCTAGATATCATTGTATTGTGAAATGTGTTAAGGCAACATGTGAGGCTAGATTTTGTTTCCTTTTTTAAGCTCTTAAATATTTACGTTGTGATCTGTCTTGCTTTAATACTTTGGTGAAATGAAGTATTTTTGAGGGAAAACTTAAATACTTTTGTTCTTTGATATGCAGGGAGATGTAGACATGGATGATGAATAAGCAAACTTTCATCTCTCTCAAGCATGGATACATACTTAAGAAACCAGACCTAAAACATGGACATTGGAGATTAAGCTCTTGAATATTTGCCAGTAAACATCTTGTTAACATATATGACACTATCAAATTGCTTTTTTTTCAATTAATAAATTGTCAAAGCAATGTCTGAATTTTCCAAAATTAATATTCTTCATGTCTTTCAGCCCAGGTTTTACTTTTTTTTATGTCACTTGTCACTTATCTGCAATGTAATGTTTGGATACTTCAGGTAGTGAAGCCTAATCTCAGTGCTATTGTCTTGTTGTTAAAGGAGAAACTTTTAAGAAAGTGTTATTGTGATGAAGACTTTGTGATAAATTTGTTTGATGCTACTTTGTTCACAAGAACTTTAATGAACAAAAGTTATTGTGTATTGAAAAGTCACAAGTATTTTTAGCAAGTTTGGTCAGGATTTGTTTCAGTCATATAGTTCAATTTCTCATGAATATCAAATCCATACTTCTTCAATAATTAGTGTCCTCCAAGAAAAGAGTTGAACAGTGCCTTTGAAGTTTCCTTAATTTCTGTTTAGACTCCACATTTATAAGGATGTTAATGTTGTTAAGGGAAACACTTGTCAAAACAATTTTTTAACCTTGTTAAATAAATGTAGATATTTGCTTGTGCAAATTTTGTCTGATTGCTTTTCAACTGTAATTTGTCACACCTGTAGAACATTGGAAAAGTTTGTCTAATGTACATGACTTGGAAAAGAGAGTTGAGTGCAGCACTGAAGTGAATACAAGGAAACTTTTATTCAACTAGACCATGTCATGGATTTATTCAGACTTTAGGGGCTCTGAAGATACAATGTATAGGTGGTCAAGTTTCCAATGCAGCTGTTTAGAACTTGTCGTACTTATGAATTAACATCCTGTTCATTGTAAGCTTATTCTAGTCAACATTTCAAGTTTAAGTAGTTGCCTTAAGTTATAGATCATTTTTATTTTTCAATCAGTGACCTATTGAAGTGGAATATTTTAATAATCTGATTTTTGAAGTTCCATTAGATCGAATTTGTTGTGATGTGTTAGATAAAAGTAATGTAATTCATGTACTTTCTCAGAGGATGGGAATTTGTAGTGTGAAATAAAGTGTTGTTTGTAGAAAATTTTCTCAGCATTTGAGTCACTGTGCTTATTTGGATGCTCTTGTGGGAAGGTTTAATTAACCCAGTATGCCTGAGGAGGTTGATAAACCTCTGGCTCTTGGATTCTTAGCCCAATGTCCTTGCATTTAATATGTAACAATTGAATTGATTTGAACTGTCACAATGTCTGAGCTAGAGAAAAATAAATTGCTGTAATTGATAATTCAAAATCAGTCGTCCATACACGACTGATTTGCTTGCAGCAGCAGTCAGTTTTTCACATGGTGCTACTTGTGTACCAGCTTTGTCATTAATGCAGGAATTAATTTTGTCAGCCTGAATTTGTAGTTTATGCACTAGTAAACTTGAGGCCTCCACAACCTTACTTCAGTATGGATATCCTCCATACTGTTTTCTACACATTTCCCAAGGTGCTAGCAGGGCAAATTTGGGTAACAATCAAGCGCTTCTTTAGTTGGTGATCATTACCTCTGTTCTTGTAAGCTTAAAGTGATTTAGGGGTGATAGTATTCAGGGAGAAATTAGATGCTAGTTATTTTTTGGGGATTTCATGTCATGTTCCTCTACGACAAAGAGGTAAATGTTCGAGAAGACCCCAGAGTTGAGTTTGCCTGTGAACAGCAATGATCAGCGGTATTCCATATTAGAGATGTAACTAATTATTACCTCGTTCAAAATGGCTCCAAAATATAAAAGTTATGATTACTGGAAACACGCTCTTAAATCGCCTAAATATATTGTGGCTCCGATGGTTGATCAGTCTGAACTACCATGGCGACTGCTGAGCCGCAGATATGGCGCACAACTGTGCTACACTCCAATGATTCACGCCGGTCTATTTGTGAAGGACGCGTTTTACAGAAGGGAATCTTTTCAGACATGTGAGGAAGACAGGCCTTTAATTGTTCAGGTAGAATTCTCAATGCTGACTTATTTCACTGGCTTTTAGTTCTATAGTTGAAGCTATTTGCAAATCCATGCATTATTATGTTCCTTAACAAGCAACAAATGCGATGTAGTTGTTTGCATATTGGAATCAGCTGTTTTATTGACATGAAACCTACTAGATTGGTATCGTTTAAAGTACCGATCAGACCCAAATTCTAAAACATTCCCAAGACCTCATCTGGTATTTTGTTCGTATATTTCAAGTAAAATGCAATGATATACGATATACGCGAAAATTTCAAACGTGATTCAGCTCAAGTTTACAATGCCTTTTGTAATGGTTACTCGTTACTTTTCATTATCTTGTGAGTTTAAATTCTGTTATATTTTATTGCAGTTTTGTGCGAATGATCCAGAAATTTTCCTTCAAGCTGCAAAGTTAGTAGAACCTTATTGTGATGGAGTTGACCTGAACCTTGGCTGTCCACAGATAATAGCAAGAAGAGGTATACATATGCAGGAACTGGCTGTACACTGCTGATACAGTGGACAGATCAGAAGTGGAAAGTCAATTTTAAACTGATTGTTGGTTGTCTTGCTACCATAATTCTGGGAACTTTTCAAAGAAGTCTCAAATGTTGTGAAAGTTTGACTCAAACAACTTATAAAAATAAAATTAACTTTTCTATGTTTGTTTAAATCTTTTAGGTTGCTATGGTGCATTTTTACAAGATAAATGGGAATTGATAGCATCCATGGGTAAGATTTCACCAGTATGTCTGTGTGTCTGTGAAATTTAATTTTTTCTTCCTTTGTGCACATTTGGCTTTGTTGTCTTTGCAGCTGTTGTAGTTTTGATAAAAGATAATTTTGTGTCAGGGTTAAAAAAGGGGATAACAGGAGTTGAATGTGTTTTATTAAGCAATTAATGCACCATATTATAGGGATCTCATTGCCTTAGAGAGTCCAAATAGCAGCTATTTACCTTACATATCAGAGTCTCTTCTTTGAAACAAGTAGTATATGCATGTATCTAATGGCTCTGTTTTCAGTTGAGAATATTCCTTACTTTTATTTTTTGATTTTAGATCTAGTGCATCTGTCTCACATATTTTATATTTATTTTCATATTTAAGAGTGCATGTTTAATGTTTGAGTTGTACTTTCCTTTTCAGTGAGCCTACTCAATGAGAAGCTTTCAATTCCAATAAGTTGCAAAATCCGTGTGTTTGATGATTTGGATAAAACTTTGGAATATGCAAAAATGTTAGAGAAAGCAGGCTGTCAGGTAATGCTTCAACTTTGTTCTCAAAATCTTTAATGCAAGCTGTACTTGCCCATCAAGAGATATTCCCCTGGGCTAGGTTGTTCAAAACATATTTAACTTAAGCTGGGGTTGGCGTAAATTTTTAATTTACTTTTATAGCTCTGCAAAAGGGATTTCTTTTTTCTTTTTCCTGTCAGTTTTAAGTCATATTGAGATAAAAACCAACAAAACCTTTGCCCCTATACACACTTTCTACATGAAAAATTAAAATTAAAGGTTGACTTTTGTTACTTCAACATTAACCTCCTTCAAACAACCTGGCCCTCAACTAAAAGGACCTGCAGGTTTTTAATTATCTCCATCAACCATCAGCATGCATTCTCTAAAAGAAGAAAAAACCCACCTGACCTAATGACCAGTCTTCTTTCCCAACTCAGGTTAAAATAAACACATTTTATCATAATTATGATCTTCTATATTCCACTCAGGCCTTTAAAAGTCTGCTGCAATTTTGTTAGATTACCTAGAGTAATAACTATTCCATGTAATTCTGGGTATATTTTGGACTGCAGATTACAGATTGATTGGTTTAGAATTCATTTCTTCAGGCTACAAAATACAGAAAGAAGATTGCCAAACTTGTACTAACAGATTTTACACTTCAGGCTGACCCCTGTCTATTTTTGTAGAACTCAATTTGTAAACTGTGCAACCTGCAGATGTCGACTTTTTAAGTGCAGTAGCACACTGTGACTTTATGCAATGTTGAATAAATTATATGAAATATTTCATTTTTACTTGACTTTGACTTGTAGCTGCTGACAGTTCATGGTCGCACAAGGGAACAGAAGGGACCCAATACTGGTCTTGCCAATTGGGATGTTATTAAAGCAGTAAAGTTAGTGGAAATTAATTTAAATGTGTTTTTGTCTCTGATACTTGCAACACTTTAGTGACAAAGAGGCTAAAGGCTCTAGTGACAAAGAGGCTAAATTCATAATTGATTCTAGAAGACAGACTTTCTCCCAAAACTTTGCACACATAATTCTTATCTCTTATTTAACAAAAATTATGATTTTGATTGATAGAGAAACTGTCTCAATCCCTGTGTTTGCCAATGGAAATATTCGCTATGTGCAAGATGTGGAGAAGTGCATGGAATGTACAGGAGTAGATGGTGTAATGACAGCAGGTTGGATTATTTTGTTGTGGCTCAGTAAAATAGATTTTAAAAATGTTAGTTTAGTTTTTTAGTTACAAAACAAAGTGATGACTTATGACTGTACATAGTCTCTCACTCCAATGGGCAAAACCTGACTTGACTTGTTTGGATCAATGGTAAATTGTAGTTGTGTCTGGTGATGATGCTCTTATTTTTGATGATCTACTTTGTGAAAGGTGATACAGAGGTTCAGTTTGTGTGCTTCTGCATTTTATGTCGTACTGAAGAAATGTAAAATGGTTTCCGTGTTTACATAGCCTGATGTAAACACACGGGAGGTTGGGAGAACATGAGTTAAGCGTAGGAAACCATGACGCAGGCAGAGTGGTTTCCAGCTTATTGAGTGTTCTTCCAACCTCCCAAGTGTTTAGATCAGGTTATGTAAACATGGAAACCATTTTACATTTCTTTTATAAAATAACTAATGAAAGAGGAATGAAAACCGTGTTTACATATGCTCATGTAAAATGGTTTTATGGCCAATCAGAGCGTGTGTACTATTTGAATTATTTTATAAATGGTGGATGTTACTTTGAATGTATCTTAAACTAAGAACTCTTCAGTTTAAAACCTCTTTATATAAGGAACTGTTGTGTCATGTTTTTTTTTCCTTTTTTGTTGTAATTATTTGAAGTATGTTGAATGAATTCAAAGGGTAAGTATGCTTTAATGATTGTGATTCCAGAGGGTAATCTCAGCAATCCAGCACTCTTTAATGGTGAACACCCCCCAGTATGGGACATAACTGATGAGTACTTAGCACTGGTAAATGAACACCCTTGTCTGTTGTCTTACATCAGAGGTCATCTTTTTAGGATGTGGCGGATCATGTAAGTACAAGTTGTTCAATGAAAATGTTAGGAATGTTTTAAATAAATTTTATGTCACTCTGGTTATAATGTTGAATATCGAGCCTAGGCAAAACTAGAGTTTACCTCAACCTTAGTGTCTCAACCAATGCACAACAGGCTTTAGTTCAATGCTCAAGAGTGACTCACATATAATTTCTCCTTACACTATTGCCCCTGAATCACACCTCAAGGTAATGACAATAAACAAATTGATCACTTACTAAAGAAGCTTTTGTGTCAGCATCTGGGGAAAAGCATGGAGAATATGCCTATTGATGTTAGGATGGAAAGGACTAAGAAACACCACTTAAAAAGCCGAAGAACTTTTACATTTGGGTTAGGGTACATACATTTTTCCCAAAATCCCTCCAACTTTACAGACCCCTTGCAACCAGTTGCAGTTTTGTTAAGAAGTCTTTTTGATGTTTATTGAAGAAGCTTTGAAATACAATTGAATTAAATATTAATAATAATCATTGTTGTTCAAAATCATTCTACCAATGAAATATTATATTAGAAATGTACATATATTATCAATGTTAAACAGTCTATCTTTTAAATAGGTTAGTAAATATGTAAAATGGTGTAAATTTAAAGTGGCTTCCCCTCATTTCTACTCCTTGCTGGCCATAAATGTTACTTCTATATACACAGTATACCATGATTAGGCTAAAATCCTTACACAAGTGAACTGTACCACAACTTCAACCAACTAATGGCTACTATGCACTAGGTTCTTGATAAAGTGTAGTTTTTCAATTTTCTTTTAGTAGTTTCTCAAACAGTTTATTCTTCTCAATATATTCACTAATTCATGTGCATGTTATGATAAGAAGCAGAGAGTGAACAATATTCTGGTGTTGAATACACAGGTACATGTGATAACACCAGCATCTAGAGAAAATGGGTTCTTCACAAAAAGTTGTAAAACATCACCTGCAGTGTGACTTATGCTTCTAATTGTGTTCTCAGTTAAGAGAACTTAGGATTTGCAGCACTCAAAACATCACTTGCTTATCAAAGGGGAAAGATTCTCCCCAATTAAATATTTCAAAGAAACTTCAGATGTTTCAGTAAAAAGGATTTTAAGACAGCTGAAGATATTTGATTTCAGGGAAGCTTTGATCCAATGAAACTACTCCAATTTTGCGCTAACTTTTTAAACTAATCAAGATATCTAGCAAACAAGGCAATGCATGAACGTCAAGTTTTCCTGTCTTGAAAAGTAATTTCTCATAGATCAAGTTTTGAGAAAATTCAAAGAGTTATTTTTTATTTAATGAATTATTGCCTGTAGGCAAAATATTGCAACTACCAGCATCAAGTTAGCCCAGGTGGTAGGGCCTGTATTGCATCGATTCTCGTGACAACAATCTATTTTGCAAGCCCAGCCATGACTTTTGCATTCTTTGTCGCTGCAATAACTTGCAATTGCACAGTGCCTTGAGTACTGCAAAAGAAGAGTTCCATTTATGTATCCTCTGTTAACTTCCACTTTGGCGCAAACATCGTCATCCTCTTCGCAAACGTGTAGAGTTCTATCCTTATCACAGTCTTTCCACGAAGTTTCGGCATAACAGGTGTAGCATTGTAGACTTGATACTGCAGTTGGACCTGTTTAAAAAAGTCGTTATTATTTCTATGTCTTCAAAGTGTTGTTAAGCAAAGTCTACTGAACGACTGTTAGCCCATTTGCTTTCCGAACCCTTTTGCAAGAAGGATTTTAATAGACGCGTAAAACGATCTCATATATTTACGGTGAATTAACAGGATCGAGTCGCCCTGAAATTTAAGATGAATTCAACTAGAAATGCAGCCAATTACAACTGTTCTGCTATCAGGGAACCTTCTCTGGATACTGGATCTTGAAACCCCGAACTTAACTGAACCCTCTTCCCATCAGTCAGAACGAAAAAAATATCCAGGACTGGTAGAGTTAACAAGCAGTTTAGACAATCATTCACGAGGGTCATTTGTTTCCTCAGCTGCAAAGTCATTTGTTTTCTCAGCTGCCTCTGTCATGCCGTGAATTTCAATCAATCTATCTAAAATTAATTTGTTTCGTGTGGCTATCAAGTTCTAAGTTAGTAGGAAATAGGCTTCAGATGTAAGAAAGTCATAAAAATTATAGCACTTTAGTATAAGTTTATATTTATAAGTATTAGTTTATATTTAGAAGTATTAGTTTACCAAGAACGCCGCGAATATGTCTATTGAGTAAAACACTTTTTGTTAATTCGAGAATTCACTTCAACAAACTCATTTGACATATTTTATGAGAATTGACAGAAAACTCAATTAACTCAAACTTGTTGTCTATACTCAGAAAAACAACAGCTTTTAAGACATGCTAAAACTCGAAAATGGCTTCATTTACAATGTCTCCTCTATTTGATTTCCAAAGAACACCTTATTTGTCCTTAAGTCTTTTTCACAAAATATAACTGATCGCTAAATATCTCTTATTTAAGCGATTAAAATCGGTAATCACTCGTGATGTAGACAGGGATATTCTTCGTGAAACGGATGGATAATTGAGCTTGTGTGTGACCTTGTGGACGTCACACAATCGCCTGTTTACTCGTAGATTTCCAGTAACTTTTCACTCTAACAACCTTCCTTGAAGTGGTTTTCCATCTCTGCCACGCGAAGTTTTTCTCTTAAACAAAGTTTACATTTTACTTTTAAGTTTTTACTCCATGGGCGGAAATGTCAGTTCCGCTCTCGAAAATGAGATTTAAAAGCCGGTTTTGTTAATATTCATGTACCTTGCTTGGCAGAGTAACGTAATATGCTAATACAAAATTGCAACAAAACCATCTTGAAATGAGCGATAGTTTCGCGTGAGGTGGCAAAGGACTATCGGAAATAAAACACAATCAACCATATCAGAAATCGAAATTGTAGACTCTTAATTTGATTCAATTCAATCGGTAATTAAGTGTTATTGATCTCAGCTTTCTCTACTTCGTCGAGCATGCTTACCGGAACTTTTCAGCTGTTAAATTTAGCGAGGCGAAATGATTTTGTTAGTCTAAATCACAGTTATATTTGTGTGAAACGCGTTTAATAGCGAGAAAAGTAGAAGTTCTTGGCACACCTACCTGCGATACTTTCATTCTTGAGAAAAGATGAGAGGATGAAAACGGCGAGAAATAGCTTTATCCCTCTCCACGATTCCATTTCCACTCGTTTGAGTTCTATTCCTGCTTAGGGTAAAATATCTGAATTGCTGATACAAGAACCTCAATTCCTGGCCTCGCTGTCCTCTGAACTAGTTCAGTTCTGAGCGTGAATGTGCAAGTTCTTACGTCCAGTGAAATATGAGCCTCTTCTGAGCTCGTAATTAGTTTTAACGGGTTGCGTGATTATAACTGTAACTTGAGATGTTTCAAAAACTCTGCGCCATTTGCAGATTTCAAGCGCTTTTCAGTTGAAATCGCGAAGATTAACTACGGCAATGCGATTGTGAGCAGTAGATGAACATGTCACTTTCTTTCATCCAAGGCAGTGTATTTTCAATTTCAGTGATCCATCACATGTGACAGCTGTTGCCAAGTTTTAATTTTATCTGCCGTGATGAAACTCCATGTTTCCGGTGTGTTCACATTTTTTTCCTGTTGGTGCACAAATCTACCTCATGCTGTTGAAGCGCGTGAGTTTGAAGGGTGCTCGATCAGCATGACTAGAAACATTTCAACTGTGGAAGGGAAATTACGTGTATTAAAGTGGCTCATCCAACTAATCTGAACAATGGTCTCCTGTCAGGTTGTGCGCTTTTATTGCGGTTTCTTTTATCTCTCAGTGTTCGCTTTACTTCTCTTATGGCACAGTTCGAATCATATGTTTTTAGAAATTTTTGAAAAGTTTGTATATTTCTCGTCTTTTTTCCTCCTTACTTCGTAAGTCGATATTTTTGGCAAGGTTAATTCACGCCTTCTTGTGCTATCCTCAGTTAAGCCAATCGTTTCATTATTATTAGGTTTCCTTTTTTTCTTATAATAATAATAGTGACGCGGAAACTACTGAAAATGAAAATTCGGTTTCTCGATGGATTGAACCTCTCAGAAAATCGCGGTTTTTTAGCGCAATGATGCAAATTAGCCATGTGACTTTGAAAAAAAACAAGAAAAAACATAAAAGGAATCAATGATTTTGGTTTAAGCAAGGGGTTTTCACCATGGCAGACTAGGTTAAGAGACGAACGGGGAAAGGCCTAATTTCTGTTTCTATCACCCGCTAGGCTACCTCTTACCCAGTCCTACCAGAGTCTAGAGCATGTGTTGTCTAGTGTCATTGTTTATTCATACTAGTTTTCTTGTTTGTATTGGGTACGTCAAATTTTTTGGTGGAGTGTAAAACTGTGGTTTGAAATTTTAAACAGGTTTTTGGAATTTCTTCTGCCCAGTTCCAAAGACTGCTTTGATCATCAGTGCAAGAAATATGAGTTCGGGTTATTAGAATGGTTGACGATTTGGTGTATGTGGCGTGTCAAAATACTTTCGATGCATTCATCAAAGGACGAATGCTTTTAACATCAATAAAAGACAACCGATAATAAAAGATTTTATCCCGATAATCGGTACGATTTGCGAGGAAGCCATTTTACTGCTATATCGATGTGTCTTGTTGAATGAGAAATACTGATAAGGTCTCTGTTGCTTTAGTTGTAGCGTAGTCGACTGCAAAATAATATCTGGCTCTAGATCTCAAAATTTGTGATGTCTCACGCTTGTTATAAGTCTTTTTAAAACATCTTTTCCTCCTCGACAAGTGAGATCAAAATTCTACCAAAACGCTTTCGATATTGCTCACCTAAGCGACACACACGACCCTTATCACATAAATCCAGTGTACAGTCTCACAAATGAGCTCTGTCGGTTAGAGGGGATTCCAAACGCCTCATCAAACCTGGCTAAATTCGAAAATTTTCGGGAACTCGCATTTTCCTTTGTTTCTCGTTTGTGACATTAGTTAATGTTTCTTTGGTGATTAAAACCACTTCTGTCTTCGAGAGCGCTAATCTGGCTTTTAATCATGTGTAGCTGCTGGTAAATGTATTTGCACCTGCAGGGCTCTCATTTCATAAAGAAAATTAATAAGAAATAAAGTAGAACGAGGATGGAAGATGGAAATCTTTGCTGGTTCTGTCAAAATTCCGGGAAAATTTGAAAAGACGGCGTGTTTGACTCAGTCTTTTACATCCGGCAGAGGGATATATTCAAATATATTGTTCCTTAAAGCTGCATTAAACGGTCGTAACACTCAGTATTATTATTAAAATTGTTTGTGCCAAATGTCAAAACGTGGCATCTTCAGCCAATTCCATTAAGAGAGAGACATTAGTATTTGCTTACCAAGCCACCACTAATTGAAATTTCAATTACACCTTCGAACGTTATTTCGCGACGCTCCTATCTGTCTGTCTGTGTTCTGTAAGTCGGAAAATATCCTAAAAACGAGAATCACGTTTTATTTAAAAAAAATCAGGAAAAATTATTCTGTAAATCTTTTACTTCCTACCTTTCAAAGCAATGTTGGTAATTATTTTGTACCAGAGCATTTAAAGATAGTTACAGCTTCCATATTTCCCGTATTTGAAGAGAACACTAAAAGGACGCCATAAATAATGAAATGTTTATTTTAATTTGTTTTTACAACCGCCATTTTGCTTCAATTTTTCCGACGAAATATAATAGATGTGAATTTCTATATTTTAATAAACTGGCATTTCTCATTAGGGAACGAGTGGTTTGCGTGCTTGTTTTCCGAAAAAATTGTTTTTGCAAATTTATGATAATGTACAGAATCATCTTCTATTAAAAAACTTCAGGCTGATAAGAAATGCGAGAGTAGTCGTTATGAATTTGTGCATCTTTATCAGCCAATACAAACTGGGTTCTGTTATCTTAAAATTATCTTTATCATTTCCTTCATTCTTTTTACCCATGAGAAAAATCTCTTGCATCTTCCCTAACATGACATGCATTAGTATTGACTGTCGTCTCTAAAAAAAAAACTCGCTCAAACAAACCTAACATGTTTGTTATCAAGCGAATGCATGCTAAAATGGGTTTATTAAGGATTGATTGTTCTCAATGCCTTTGAGTAATGTTAATCTAAACTTTGCCGGTCATTTTCCACGAGATCAGCTTTCAGTGGTTTTTCATAATATTTATAGTTTAGTCTTTCCCATTAATGAATAGAGAAATTGGCGTAAATGGTTTTGCTTTCGTTGCTTTTTTTTCTCCACACCCCTCCCCACTCCCCGCCGCTCGCTTCACTCGAATCCAGTTCCTCCTCGGCCCTTTTCACCGGAGTCTGTCCACTGATTGCTCGCAGGAAAACAATATTTTCTTGGAAGGGTTGCCATCGGCACTAAACGCTCTGTCCCATCCCCCCTGGGGCCTAAAAAGCAAATCTTGATCGAAGTCTTAGCCACGAGTAAAATCCCAACTTTTGAAAAGAATGGCTAACTATTTTTTGATAGCTGTTTATTTACATGGTAATATATAGATTTAGGCAAGCCTAAAAGAGGAGCTCGCATCTTTTTTTCCCGCACGTCTCTTCAACAAAACTAAAGCCCCTACTATGGATTAAAAGCGGGGTAATATTAATGTATTTTCATTCGAAACTTCTCCGTGTCCGTGTAGAGGACTGATTATAAGATAGTGCCCGTGGTACAGTTGGCTGCGCATGCTAAAAGTAGCGCCTTGTACGGTCGGTCGTACGGTCGTACATCCTAATTTTTTCAGTTTGATGGGTTACTACTTTTTTGTATAATAATGGGCTACGCTCCGCGAGCTCCGCTATAACGGTTGTAGGTTAACAAAAGCGTAAAGCAATAAAAAAACCTCAAGGAAAGTACACATGACGTGCTAAGCACGTGACTAAGCACGTGACTAAGCACGTGACTAAGCACGGAATGCGTTCATGATCAAGTCGTGATTAGTTTGTATTTCGCGTCTCACGGTTGAACGCTTTAATTTTGAAACAAGGGTTAAAACCAATCCGTGATTGCTTTGTGTTTGCACCATACGTTCAGAAATCGGTTTAGAAAACTGGCGCACCCCTTCCCACCACAAATCAGATGTAAAAAAAATCAGGAGTCACATTTTCCAACACTTTGGAGGGTTTGACTGTTTCGCCTTGAGTTCTTATCGGCTCTCTTTGATATTTTCATGACTTATGATGTTATTCAATCGAAATACGCTCTAATACCCGTTTTAAACCAGTTTACCCAAGACACTGAATTTTAAATTGTCAATCTAAAAATAAATTATGAATTCGAATGAGAAACGCAAGGATGCGATGATAAAAAACAAGGTTCCTGGCATTCGGACAGTTCCGTTACAGAAGTCTGTGTTACAACAAGAGAGGTCACAGTGCCATTCTTGTTCTTTGCATTCCTCGCCTGAACATGTTTCAGGAACATTGCAACCCATGGCGTAACTCACTTCCAGTTTTTCTGTTTCGGATCTAACCCACCTTGTTCGCTTAATCTTATAACAAATGTCTCCTTGGCGAGTGCACTCAACTGCTGTTAGATTTTCTCGGCAGTTACTCCATGATTCTGGTGAAAAACATTTGTAACAGCGGAGCTTTTGTCCTTGTGTTTGTGACGACCTTTCTGTCAAGGAAGACGAGTAAAAGTTATCAGATTGCTTCTGTCTTCATCTTTATTTAGAAAAAGTCGATTGAACAATGGACCCGAGCGCGGGAAAGTCATGAGCTGAGAAGTCATATTTGTCTTAATTTCCTCATTTTGAAAGTAATAATTTTCCAAGACAGACATCATATAGATGGTGTTAAATTTACGAACGTATGGGGTTTTGTTTCTGTTTTCTGTCATCCTGTACTCTTCTTTAACCACAGCAGATTAGTAGACGAACGTACTGTTATTAGGAATTATTACTCTCTCGGCCAGTTGAGAGGCAAAATTTCATTTACGATATGCTGTCAATGACAAACGGCTGTTCGCCATGGCAACTGCAAAACCCCCTGCTTAGTCCGACCCCACAGAAGAGCATAATGAGTTTGTTTACTTCGTTCATAATCTTTCACTGAATCAATCAAAGCCGTTTTCAAACATTGTTCTCACACGGGTTGTTATCAGTGAAATTCGGTGCATTTGCAGTTTGGGTTCAAAAAGCATGCGTGTGCTCCTGTAAATCACGTGAACACCAGCAGGAGAAAGGACGGGCTTAATGCGATTTCTTTGCAAACAAAGCAGCTCCAAATTTTGGTACTTTCCTTCAGGGGCTTTTCGCATCCCACGTATTTCAAAGGATATGCAGTTTTATGGGGAAATCAGACTTGCTCATCAGCTACCAGATAGCGTCAGTCCGACAAGTCTTCCTTTCTCTTTAATCCCCGGGTATCAGACAGCAACAGCAACTATTAAAATTTTGTTTTGATGAAAAAATAAAATGAAAAAAGTATGGAAAATATAGAATTAATTTTCGTTCCTCTAGGCGGAAGCACTTAAGCTAATAAAAAATTAATGCAAGAAAATCAACGACTGAAGTAAAGATGCCCTTACGTACCGATCGCCGAAATGAGAGGAAGCAAGCGCATAACATTACATAACTTCAAAAAAACAAGCTTGATCTTCGTTCGATGGTGAAATTTTGTAGAGGCGAATTGTTTCTTTGAACTTGATTTTCCTTGCTGACAGCTTTATTACGTTCAATATGCGTCTTAGTTCTTCATAACAACTTAAAAACCTGTAAGAGACAGGTGGCAAGTTTTTTTAACTTGATTTGCCTTGCTGACAGCTTTATTACGTTCAATATGCATCTTAGTTCTTCATAACAAGTTAAAAACCTGTAAGAGACAGGTGGCGGTTAAGTCACTAATTTATTCAGTGACAAGAAATTTGAAGTGTTCGAGTATTTTCCGAGTCAGCCATCGAGGGTGAACCACCTGCAGCATTGTTAATCTTTACGAATCACGCAAAATGAAGAAAAGGTATACCAAAAAATAAGCAATAAACAAAATGAAGGTCTAGAAAACCGTGCAAAAAAGACAATACAAAAGTACTTCTGAGCTTTTAAGAAGAGACCACTGGAAACAGTTAAAAGACTTCTCATTGGGAACCGGAATTAATAACGAAATGATTATTTTAAAAGGCAATTGGTAAGTTCTTTATACCTCACAAGGAAATTAAAAGCATTTTTGTGGATGAAACTTTATTTACAGTCTTAGTAAGGATAAAGTATGATATGCGACGCATCAAGTGCGAGTTGTCTTTATAGAAGGGAGTTAGTCATGTTCAAGGCGGAAAACAAAAGGTATTTATTGACGTTCTAACATTTATTTACTCTTCCTTCCTTTTAAAAGGGGGTCATTAAACCGAACATCGCTCTGTTGTTTAAATGAGAAATAAGATTTGAGTTCTCTTCTGTTTATTTAAAGCGTGTAGTCGAAGTTGTATGGAAACGAAAAAATGTCTTTTTTGGAACTTATGTGATGGTCAAAAGACACGTTTTTTTGTGTTTGGACAGTTTAAGCCAATCTCATCCAAAGTTTTAGTTTTTATCAACCAAACACATTTGAAGTTGTAGTTTAAATCAACCGATCGGACTTTGTCAGTCTTTGAATGCAAATTTTCCTTTCTTTCTTTCATAACTTGGCTATTCTTCCTCTCTCGGAAATTGTAATTTTTATGATTAACTGGTAATAAGACTTCCTGTCGACCAATTCGGTCTGTAATCATACTCGTGATAAGCAAATCGGACTCCCGCTGCACGGTCGTCCGATTTTGTTATCAATCGTATTATTAAAGAATAATTGGACACCACTCAGCCATATTACTATTACTAAAAATTCGTAGGAAACTTTAAACGGATGCTTCCGGTTTAGTGACGAATTGATTCCAAATTTCTGGCACTGTGTTAATTATTTTACCTCCGTAGACGTAACAAAAAGTATTTGTGCTTTTTTTTCCTTTTTCCAAAGGAGCGGGGACTGAAGTTATAAATTTTCATCGTTGTAAGCTCGTTTTTTCTTTCGAAAATGTAGTATATATTTTTTTTATTTTAATTCTATCAAAATAGTCAAAGCCGTACTTGGCCTATCTCCCTTTTTATTGCTTAAACATGAAAAAACAATCGCCGTTATCTTCGTAATTTTTATCTTAAGTCAATAAAGGCTTTTCTAATCGTTATAGTCAGTGGGTCAGTGACTTTGACATGTTTGATCTGTTTTCTGCCGATAAAAACGACCAAAAAAAAAAGATGACTGGCAACTGAGTCACTGCAGCAGAGTCCCTTATATCAAATCTTCAAGATGTTGACATTTGTCGTGAACATTTCACGTGAACTCGGTCCTAGGAAATTTCGCGAACCGAAAGACCATCAACTGTGCTCGAAAAACTCGTTGATGGTATGTACAAGCTTCACTGATGTAAGCTTTCGGTGTCGGAAAGTTGATTTGCATATAGTTTTGCGTACACGGTGTCATTTAGTTTCAACCGGATCAGGTGCTTAACGATCATTGAATTGATGTTTTATCTTGACATTAAAGCCAAAACTTTCGAAACAAGGACTTGTCTAATTTCATCTTTGTCGGTCTAGTAACTGATAGTGCGGAAACATCATGCTAAGTATTTTCAATAACGGCGAAAATTTTGTCAGTAATCAAGATGAAATTGCTATGACTACGAATCAAATTCCAAGTTGGTCTGTCGCGTTTCTGTTTGTTTCACGTCCCTTGTATGTAAATATTAGCCTGGCGGCTCCGATTCACTCTCAGCTGTTTCCAATTTTTATTTTCCGAGTGAACCTTTTAACTCCCAGAGGTGATTAACTAGTATCTTCTCCCTACAATACCCATGCACTATCCAGCAAACAGGTAATGAGAAACTCAAATGTGTCGGGCAGAATTTGTTACCTTGATCTAACACCAAATTCTCGTCACTAATTTACAAGGAAATGTGTAGCAGCTAGAGGGGAGAATTAACAAGCAGATCTTGGGAATGAAAGGGTTGAAGAGAAAAAGACATCTTTTAAAATACTGCGTCGCAATCCGCTATATTTTCGCTGATTGTTCAATTCAGTTGGATTGCCGAATTGGTCATTGCAAAAATCCACCTTTGATAACGTTTTGGGAAAGTTGGCAGAGATGACAATGTTTATTTTATCAAAATAGCAGGGAAATTGCAGGGATGTCAGTGCCGCTTCAAACGTCAAGAGATAATTTCTTCTTGAGAGCTACCGCAGTTTTTTTAAGCTTCTGTGTTTGGATATGATTGTGTCAAATATCGCAAAGCAGGGTTTCTTGAATTTCATTAAAATCTAGAAAAAAGACTTTTCATATGCATTTCTATATCAAGTATAATGCCGTCATTTCAGATCGTTTTAATTAAAAAGATTAGTGCGATAAAGTTTTTACATATAAGTTTTCAGGTGTTGTATTTCACCTTTCTCGTGATGATTTCCATCGACAGGAAAACTTAGCGTAGTTGGTATATTATGTTAGAAAATGAAAGGTAATCCTGGACACTGATCATTTTAGTGATCGTGCCTTTTAGTTTATGAATAAAAATTTGAGCCTCAAGGCAAGTACGATTTGGATTTTTTTTAAAGAGGAAACCGGAAAACTCGACTCCGAAGACAATTGCTTGAAACAGAAATTAATAACTGAAAGGTTTCAGTCAGTTAGAAATGACTTGAACGCATCATATTTTTTTAAACATTTGTCCCGATAGCCAGTTGATCAGTTAAAGTTTCCGAGGTAGATTATGTGTCAAACTCCAGTGTGATATATAGATTTTGTGAACGAGGATCTGAATCTTGAGATAAGTTTCTATATTGAGGCCACAACATTATATAGATAATGAAAATGAATTAAATAAATGGAAATAAAGTAATACCTTGCTTCGATGTACAGTTTGCAAGCAGGAAAGCAAGGAGAAGCGTTCTCCTCCACAACTTCATCACAGACCCAAGCATGTCTCTCATGTTTCGTTGATGTATACCGTGAAATTGTTAAGGCGCCGTCTTTGTCACTTGATCTGCGTCACCGTGTTACTTAATGGTGTTACTGTGTTATATTGCTTTGTAAGACCCTTTTTGTCCGCACAGCTTTTATTTGTTTTAGTATTATTGACAGACAGAATTAAGCATGGACCACAGGCATACCACCCAATGGCACGTCGGAAAGACTCTTGAGCCGGTTAAACGAAATGTGTATGTGTTCTGATTGTGGCAGAGAATGATAAAATTTGCAATGCCTATAGGTGTGAAAATCTCACTTAGTGGAGTGAATTATTAAGATACTGACGTGTGGGGTTTTTTTTTTTTGCCTCTTTCAACGTCCTCTTACGGGATCACTGTATCGCTGAATTCATAAGTCAATGTGGAGGTTGAGAGCGCTTCAGAAGAAACTGTTTAAAAAGGAGAAGATGGCAAATCAGTACACGTCTGCGTGTTATCATTTTAGGCCACTTTTCCAAGACCTCGTGAAAAAGAATTTTCACAGCTTTTAATTCAAAACCGTCTTTCATATCTTCATATCCTTGTAAGTTGTCTTACATGTCAACACAATTCGAAGGTTGGTAAGCCTGTGCTTGGACAGTTGCCACTAAAAAACTTCTTTATTCTCAAATAGCCAACAGCATTTACAGACTTATTTTCAGGCCAAGGCTCCGTTGGATGAATTTACTGCTCTCGAGATGATGATGAAAAATCCAGTGAAATTCAAATTTTCAGTTTCAATTCTTAATCATTCCTTGACGTGTGTTTCATTTTCATAATTGAAATGGAATAGCTGACGCCATGTTAGACCTGTTAGCTATTTAATTTCGGCGGAAATACGAACGTCAATGTATGTGTTTCTTTATTTATTTAATACTGAAAAACAGATGTCTATTTTGTTGGGCTCATACTTGAACGTGCGTGCGCTGGACTGACACATGACCAAAAAATGGGAAAACTACGCCTCTCTTTTGTTATTTCCAGTTATTTGGGAAACTCTTACACTGATTTCTTTTTCAGGTTCTATTTATAAAAAAAAAAAGAAGCTTCCAATTTAGACTTGTTTTTTTAATCTCTCAATTATTTGCTTTCTTGAATGACACCCCAGCAGAAAGTGAAGTATCGATGAATATGTATATGTATATAATATGTATTTGTATATGTGTAGACCATTTGTAATTAACCGGTCAACTTGAAATGAATTTAGCTGTAGACTAATTGCGCTGCTTTTCTCTTAATTCGGTACAAATTAAACCGTCGATTTGTTTTATTTTATTGCTCATGAAAAGGCATTTTGGCCATGTTAAGTTTCTCTCAATGTCTATTGTACAAAAATGTTTTATTTTGAGGTATACAGTTTCCCTTTATTGAATAAAAATTTCACAAAAGATAAGAAATGTAAAGATATCTCTTCACAAAAAATTCAGCCACTCAGTCGAAAAATGAGATGGATGATTTTGATTCGAGTCAATGAAGCTTATGTAATAAGATGAATTGCTGTTGAAAATGTACAATTTTTTCAAATTTTAAATGACATTTTCCCAGCCAATCCACAGAGTTGCTGGCATAGTTATCCGTGAAGTGTATCAGTTCCGGTTACGCATGATCACTGTAAGTGTTGTTTGGAGCACATGCATGGCAATTCGGGACTTATCCCGTATCATTTCAGGTCACAAACCCGTTTTGTTACTAAGTAATTCGGGACTTATCCCGTGTCGTTCCAGGTCACAGACCCGTTTTGGCACAAGTCAATCGGGACTAAACCCGTCTCATTGCGGGTCATAGTTCCGTTTTGTTGCAAGTCAATTGGGACTCATCCCGTATCATCGTGGGTCGCAGACCCGTTTTGGTACAAATCCAGTGGGACTTATCTCTTAGGCAGTGCGGGTCAAACGCGGTGATACCCGTGTAAGTGAAAATCAAATTGAACTTTTTTTCCTAGTATTGCGGACTGGTTGTGTTTGTTCGTGTTTAAAAATCTTCTATTTTTTTTAAAGGTGCTTGAAAACGCCTAGCACTTAGAGAACACAATTCAACTGTAGAAGACAAATCAAAATTACCAGCACACCTCCCAGCAATGTGTTCGTCATATCAGCCGCTCGTTTTGTTGCGGTGTTACAGCCGTCGCGATGACAACAGTCAATTTGGCAACTTGTACTACGCTTCTCGCAATCTTTGACAGCGCACAGTCTTGCTTGACCGCACATTTTTATAAAAGCTTCTTTGTATCCTTTGTTTGAGCTGTCATCCTTTGTCACTTTATGTTGCGTAATGCAGACTTCATCGTGACCAGGTGTACAATCGATAAGGTTTTCAGTCTTTTTACAGTCCTCCCAAGATTTATACGATAAACAAAGGTAGCATTTGAGATCCGCACCAACACAGGGAACTGAAAATGATAATTAACAAAGAAATGAAGCTATGCGGAACTCAAACAAAGGGGTACGTAGACAAAGAACACAAATTATTTTAACCGCATTTCGGTTGAGGGACCTACAATAGTTTTCGAAAGTAATAAAAATGTTTGTAGTGTTTTCGTTTTTAAGAAAACTCCTTTTAATTTGACGAGCAGCCTTTTCAGCCTGGTCTACACTTTTAACAATAGCGTTCTTATTAATTATTCGAGTGAAAGTTCCACTAAGAGGTTGTCTCGATATGACTCCACTCAACAGTGCCAGCTCAGTTTCTATTGTCTTCACAACTCTTTCATAAGTATAATACTGATATGTTCACGAGAGATTCAAGGCTCGTGTGCTCCTCGAGATCTCGTTCGCAAATAGCGAGGCTGGATATTTCCCTGATTTACCGGGAGGAAACTGGTAAGGTCGTTGGCGGCTAGTCATGAATCAGATGAGTCTTAAATTTCTCAAACTCTGTCCATATGACGACAATCTCAGACCAGTTTCATAGATTTGTTTTAGTTAATCATTGTACAGTAGGGAGTTTTAGAGAAATTGCACTGAGAATCATAGAACAAATTACGTCCGGTTGCGTGTTATGGAATTCGAGAACATCACTAAATTGCTTCCGTGCCACTTTTTTCGGAAATCCGATTCTCTTCGAAATTATCTTGAAAAGCAAACATAACCTGATGGTAATACCGTGAAACAGCATCTGTCTTAATCATCACGTACTAGGTTTTCAATGGCAAGTTTAGGTTGCTTCAGTGTGAGACGGTTCTTTATGGGCCACGAACAAACTTCCCTGAGGCATGGTCTAATTTCGTGCAGGCGTTATTAAACAAGTATGAAAGCGGAAGAAGATCCAACTCAGATTATGTCGACGTTTTTCGAATTCTTTGAGTAAAAATATGAGTCGAAGGTGTCAAATTGCTAAAACCGACGTTCATCAAGATTGCAACAATTAACTAAGAAAGCTTTGCCATACAACAAACGAAAGTGTTCAAGGTTCCTAACCCCAGGCGGGACTTCCTGTATATTTCCTAATATCTTATTTGTAACATTTATTAAAACAGTCGATCTTTGCATTTGGTCTGAAACTTCATATTGAGTTCATTTCTAGTTTTTAGTAACTGCAGGAAGTAGATATAAGGAATTATTTCTCAGTCGTGCAATACGGAGTATAGAATTGTATAAAGGAAATTTTTATGCAGAAATTTCTTCTTGTATCAATTTTTTTTTCTGAGCAGATTTCTTCACTCAACATTACTTTTCCTTTCAAGAGAGCAGAGCTTGAGAACGTGGCGGTTTGAAATTTCATTTCTGAAATGAATATATGAATTGTATACGAATTTATATATTAGATTTCCTTCAAATCGTTCGTCATCTGAGAACGATAAACCTACACAAATCCATCCAAGTTCTTGTTTTAAGAGATTATTGCATTGATTTTGTGGTAACCTTTGAGGCCGTTTAATTTGGTTTTCTAATTCTTACTCTGAAACAAATTTCCTTGAAAGTAGAATTGCTTATTAAAGCGCAAGTTGTTGTTGATGTAAGAATTATCAGCCTTTTAATGATGTGGTCTAGCAACTATTATTGTTTGGTTACTACTACATTCGCAACAAGTTATTAACTGACTGCAGTAAATTATACTTTGAGGAACAGCGAGCAAGAAATAGGAGTGACTCGTTGGTTTCATCTTTTACACTCTTCAGTTTTATCTACGAGGAATTAAACCGGAACTGTTGCATTCCGTTGATTTTTTCCGCCATTAGAGTTGATTTGAAGCGATTCAGTTGAATTATTGCAGATAATATTTTCTTCTCTCGACCATTCTTCAAATAAGTAGAATAGATTGAGAAAAAAGATAAAAATTGAGTCATCATTAGAGCTTTCATAAATCTGCACGTTAAATCAAAAAAGAGCTTGTCGCTTACCCACAAACATCAGTAGCAATATTGACAACGAAGATGAGTATATCTTCTCAAGCTTCATTTTCGCAAACAGCCAAGTTATCCCCGGTCGACAACTTAAATGCCAGCCTCCAGAATACAATTGCCTCGAAATTTCCACCTGCGAAGATATTTAAACCGGTTTCGAGCCCTGACAGGCACTGATGTGATAGCCACATTTCCGCGAAGCTCAGTGCACAACGTAGCGATTGACATATCTTGTTTGAAGTCTTACATGACTGACAGTCTTCAAGGTCACGTGCCCGTATGGTTGGATAAACATCCTAATTATTATAAAATTAGCATTTTATAACGAGGGTTTCATTTCTTAAGCCAAGTTTTTAACAAACTTCACCGATGTGTTGTACATAATTGTGGGGTCTTTCTGGATGACTAATGGCGTACAAAGCACGCTTTTTATGCCTCAGTAACTTTGCTTTTGGTAACTTATACTTGCTTTTAGTAACCTATACTTGAGCCATCGTACCTCAAGTTGAAAGCCTATTACCATTTCCTAACGTCACATAGTAGACAACACGGTGATCAGTGTGCATACTCACGTTCCTCTGTGCACCATTCTTGAGCAGCACCAACGGTTGACCAAAGAAGGGTTTACTCGGTTTTTGCAAAAGAGTGTGGTTTTCCGTTTTTAGTGAACAATGGTACGAAAAGGTGCCCAGCACAGACGATAGATAACGAAACTGTGAGGGATAACTGCACGATACTTATTCGTGCTCTTGGTTCCCAAAAAACTTTCCTTATGTCAATTATGTTGAGTTTTGATCCATGTATTTTGACGTCAGTTGGATCCGGACCAACTAGGGATTGTTTTGGAAGCTTTTCTCTGTTCCGTAAACTATTTTCTTTCTAAATATTTCTTTTAATTTATGTTAGTAAATAATCACTTTCCTCGTTGATTTCTTCTGTCCATCTGGATTCCTGTGTTCACATCTTGTTTAAGTAAAGCTATTGCATATGGGTTAAGAACAGATTAACTAGGTTATATCCATTTTATTGATAGTTTGTTGGTTTATGGTAAAGTTTCGTTCACTTTCAGTATGTTTTATCATTAGGACAGAACGTAAGCTGGACTATTTCCGGGTTCTTTTGACGAGAGACTATTTGCATGCATGATTCAAATTAATTGTTGTTAAATTTGGAGGCTAAAACAATCTTCATATGAAAAGTTTCTCTCAGAAATTAAAAACAAAGGAAATGACCTTCAACCTGTGGCTTTCCGGACATAGTTTTCTTCCTGTTGGAAACCTGTCTTTGAATTTTTTTTATTGCCTTGGCACTTTTCCTCATCCAGATCACCACTTTTGCTTCTAATCTGAGTGACAGCATTTACTGCACCGCTGCTGGGTATGATAATGTCAATGACAGGCATTTTGAATCATCGTTGTGCACTCTTTCCAGTTTCTTCGTTGAGGTAATCAACTGGGGAGTTTTTCTTCTTTTCATGTTCCCCTCTACTTTGCAGAATAGGTCAACAATGATACTTAATTTTGAAAAGTACTGGGAATCAAGTTAAAAACGCATGGGAGTTGAGGCGCTTTCAGCAAACCTGTGACCGTTTCTCTCTGGAAACGGTGTATTGCGTTAACAGCTTAGGACTTTCGTTGACATAGAAACGGAGTCTCTTGAAAAAGATGACTTAAACGTTGGAGGTGGTATGATACTTCTCGCGGACCTGATAAAGAATACTTAGCGGTATATGTTTTGTCGGTGATTAAAGCCTGACAGGTCTTAAGAAGTGGCAATATGCAGTGACATTAGTACAGAATTGCGAGTCGTTTTAAAACTTTACACCTACGTCTTTAAGTTGAGTGATCCGCGAGGTACCCGCCATGACCATTTACAAATGAAAATTTATTCCCCTACGGGTAAAATGCCCCAGTCTCCTTTAAAGGATTAAATAGGTGATATATTCGTTGGAGTGGTTTCATGAAAGAAATATGGCGATTAAATTCACGAACATCAGTCTCGTCACCAACATTGTTCGAGTTGATAGTTCCGTGCTAGCTGTATTGCATAGATCCTCATGACAGCATTTAGGGTCGCACCGCGCTCCATATTTTTCACAGTTTTTGTTTGTGCACAAATCTGCCGTACCACAAGTTCTGGAAAAAAGTTCCTCGTATTCATCTCCAGTGAGTTCCTTGTAACGCACTAGATGTTCTTTGATGCAAACTTCGTCGTGCCCATCAGGACAATCTATGAGTTCCATTTTTGCATTGCATTCCTCCCAAGATATGTAAGATACACACGCATAACATCTGAGGGCCTCACTGCAACGAGGCACTGAAAAAGGAATAAGGAAACGCTGATAAATTTCCTACCGGAGCAATCTCGTTTTCAGGGTTTTCGAAGGGATAAGTCCTTGGAACGAGTTTGCAACTGTTGTCACGCAATCTGTTATTTTTACTAACTAAAAATAAAGTGATTGTCATCGATATTCTCACTGGATTAGACTGTCGTGTCATTCGGTTCTTGTCTGACGTCTGCAACAAAAGCTTAGTTTAGTAAGAACATATCTTCTCGTCTTTGTGAAAGAGGAGATCTGTCTGGGCTTTTAAAATCCCAGTCAGACTGACATTTTTCCTTTTTCTCGTTTGGTCCGAATCTTTTATTTCTGGTTGCCTCTCAGCAGGAAGTTACAGTGCATCAGCTCCTTTAAACCATAGGCCCTACAGCTTTTCTTTGTGCAGTATGAAAAACCTCGAGTACCAGGTGTACAGTTTTGTTGTTCTCGTAATTTTGTAAAGTTTTAGGTTTTGCTTCTTACGGATATTTTATAGTACAATTGATTGATGGAATGCAAATACAACATGAATGTTTTTTCTTTTTGCCAAGTTTTTTGTGTTTCTCTTAAGAGAAAAAAGAAGAGGAGCGGAAAATGAATGCATCAGAATGGGCGGACAATATGTGTATTTGCACTTTGTTTCTTGGCGTTTCTGATGCTTCACAGAATAGAACCTATCCTGTCGGGTGACACAAAAACCATTTGTGAAGGTCTTTGTGTGACTCTGTGAAAAAAAAACCACAAACAAAGCCGCATTTGTAAAGCAGCATATGTATTGTGCTCCCGCTGGCACAAATTTCACCGCTGTGAATGTTAAGTTACAAATGAAAATATTTTTAAATATAACTAACTGTGGAAAACAGGTTTTTATAGAGTACATGTTTCGCTGTGCACCTTTCCTTTCAATCCCCATTAGCGTAAAATCACTTGTGATATTGAATCACATCTGTGTCGCAATTTCAAAGGTCATTCTCAGTGATTTGCATAACTTGTGACACAGTACAACTAATTAAACGAATCTCCAGAGGAACCTTCGGGTAACTTTCCTAAATCGGAAGTTTTTTTAAAAAAGAAAAGAAAAGTAAATTGAAGGACAATAATGATATTATTTTGGTCGGGGAGTAAGCTAAAGCTCCCTTACTCTATTGTGTTAATTAGACCAATTTGAATTGTTCAGTTGACTACACTGAATGTTGCGAAATATTTTAGCAATTAAATGGTGGAAACTTCTCTTATTTCGTTGCTTTCACACGGAATAGACCGAGAAGCTCCCAAACCAATTAATATATCATTGTGGTGACTTTTTTCAAAGTCTCTCATATAATTTGAGTTTGAATGGTGGCCTTTCAAAGCGATGCATTCAAAGTGATTGTTTGCAATCCTTAAATCTGCGAAGGAAATATCTGCCCATTGGCGCTGATTTGTAACGCAGAGGTTTTGCACAGATTGTTCGTATATTTCGCATGTTTTCATTTCATTTGATACCGTGTGCTCGAAAGCAAGAACTAGTTTATTTGTTTGCATCGATTGTTTGCCATGGTTTTTATTAGCTGTTAGCAGATTTCAATGTCAGCTTAGAGTGTAACAAAGAAATTTAAAAGAAATTGGCCTCGGATACAAAGACAATTGACTATTCTGCAACTTCTTAAAAGAAAACTTTCGTCTTTGCAACAAATTAAATACGGACATTTCGTGACTTGGACGTCTTCGCTGTGGCGTCTTCACTGTGGCCTCTACACCATTTTCATGTAAACAAAACAAAACATCTTACTTACCCTTTGTCAGTAGAACTAAGACAAACGACGCGTAGCGAAGAAAATTCGAGCGCATTCTTCCGCTCTCAGGATTGAAGAGCTAGCAGCTTTCTTCGTCAGATCCTTTTGTAGTGTTGGCTTTTTGTATTCCAGTCGAAATGTGACTTGTAATGTTAGAACGATCTATTAGTAGCAAGATCTCGTGACACGAACTGCGTGCGCGAGAATTAAAGCGTGACTGTCGTGTATTAGGTTTACTTTCGGGAACAAGAGATCATCGCGACGTGTGTTCGAAAATGACGGCTGAAAATTACAAAGTGTAATGGGGAGTTTGTTTAGTAATCTTAAATTTCTTATTTTGTGAAGTTTTTTTTCTAAAAGAGGATTTTTCAGTCAGTCGTTCTTTTTTCCTCTGATATTGATTTTGTAAAATTTAAATTCGGTCGCCAAGTAAGAGTGCATATTTGCATGTCATTGTTATTGTCTGAGGGGAAGGCAGGGAATGTTTGCCTCAAAGGATTAACTTTTGCAAGAGGGCAAATGTTTGTCTTTTGTATTAGGTCGTTTTTGTTCGTCTCCAGCTCATGCACGCACTTAAAAAAAGGTGTATAAAACGTTTCAAGGGATTTTGCTAATACAAGAAAGTATGCTGGTGCCCTCTGCTCTAAGGTGACCGCTAAAACCATTCGTAGTTGTTCTGGTTGTTTAGCAAGTCGTTGGGTGTCTGACAGATACACCCACACATTTTTCATTTAATATTTTTTTGCTCAGCAAATACACGGAAAAGACATTCATGTCACCAAGTGTTGCACTTTATTCACAGCAGTGTATCCGCTTTGTGTATTTTAGGAACACAGCTTGTATCAAAGAATTGATCTTAAAATGTATTCAAGTAGCTGCAAAGATTAAAGTCAATATTATTTACCCTTAACTTTACATAAAATTTGAAAACATCAAAAATTATCAAACGTGTTTCACGCGAGCGTTCCTCTGACAAGTTAAACCGTCTGTTTTTACGTTTGGTCACTACTTATTTTGATGTACAATTTTTTGCGCAGCTTTTCGCATTTTTATTACACAATTGTGCTTTATTGTCGGGTTTCAAATCAAAATGTAAAGTTTACCCTTGGCTTATGAAGTGAGGCGATTCATAGCTATTGGTAAAGTTATTCAAGAACCTTCATTGTTACTAAGAGTGCAATGTGATCCAGAAAAATGTGCAAATGACTTGAATCTCATGATAATACCTTAGGAGGATTTTATCTTGATTATTGTAAGAGTGAAAAAGTAACAAGTTTGAAACGAATCATTTTCTTTTTACCAACGTCTTCCTGAAAAGTGTAAACATTTGACGTGGTACTTTCTGTGATTTCCTAATTTCCCGATTTCCTAAATTTACGAGGATGTCACGTAATGTTTGCGCGCCTGATACTGAAAGGGAATTTTTTCTCAATTGTTAAATTAAACCCACTGTGGCCACAGAGTAGTATCTGTATTCTCGAATCAAGTTGTTGAGGAAAAGAGATGTCAAAAAAAATCTTTAATTATGAATTTTAGTCACAACATAAAGTTTATTAATCATTGGTGACAAATTTAGGAGGAGCGTTTTGTATTACGGTTGTGAAAATGTTGTTTTTTGACTAGCCTGGATAGAAATCATGACATGCGCGACATTCTGGGAACAGCCAAGTCAATTGAGGTCATGAAGGAAGTTTGTCAGACGTTAAAAGAGAGGGTACAGGTTTGTAATTGTACTTTGTTTTGTCAACAATTTTTGAACCTCACGATGTTACTGCAGAAATTAGACTCTATTTTCGGTTAATTGAGCAGTTTTGAAATCAATTAGAAAGAAAGACGAAACACAGGATGAAGAAACCCAATATCGTTGGGCGAAATTTTAGATTATGAATTTATGGCTGATCGATTGAATGTCGCTATAAAGAATTGCTGTAACGAAACGTTTTGTCCCATTGTTTTGATCCATCTCGAATAAAACTTCTTTAAGTAATTAAAAGTCACAATCCCTCTGCTAAATAGGCTTGGTATTGATAAAAGCTACAGTGATGCTTGTTATCACTGGTTTCAGAGAGACATTGAAGAAAATGGCGAGCCAGATTCCTCAGAGATTCCCTATTGGCGGTGTCAACCATATATCAGGTGAGAACCTAGTTCATGCGGACGTTTTCCAGTGGAGCGATCTTAGGCTTGAAGTCAAAGGTGGTTCAGTCTCCGAAAAGAGTGTAAAATCCGGTCACTGTATTTCACATGCAGTCTCATGGAGCCAAAAAGTTACTCACTGAGCGCACTCATTTATCTCACAATTGCAGATCAAATACCTCAGTCAAACGAACACTCGACCAGGTGAAAGAAGAAGAGGAAAGAAGCAAAGAGGTGGCAAAGCTGCGGGAGATGAGAAAAGCGTTGAAGAAACAGAAAGTTAAAGCGCGAAGAGGTAATTTGACTTTGCTTTATTTGTTTATTTATTTATTTTTTTTGGTGTTTTTTTTTGTTTCTTTTTTTAACTGGTTTTGATGCATAGTCTCTGTATCTTAAATGTATAATTTTATTGTTGGAATTCTTAATTGATATACCATTTGTCAACAGAACGAACGTGGGATATCTGTGCAAAGTGTGAAGTAAATCCAAAGGTAGGTGTCACAGTGGCTTAACTGTGAGTCTTGCCTTTCGTTGATTAGCCGGAAACTGGTTAGCCACGTTGTTGAGAAGTTAGCCCAATAAGTACCCTAAACACGCGAATAACACTGCATTATTGACCCATCATTGATAAAATGCACCCCGCTTCACTTGTAAAGTTGGACTTAGTGTAAAAATTCAGCCTGCATGGTTAACGTCAGAAGGTAGTCTCTTTCGCAGCCAATGTTAAGTCCTGTTTTGCAACATAGTTTTCTTATTTCCTTACGTGCGTGACCACGTGACCAAAATAAGTCTTTAGTAGAGACGAAAAGAGGAGGGGGAGAAGGGGTGGTGTTCCTATTGTGCCACTCCCTCCTCTCCCTTCACATTCTGCATCAGCTAAAATTTTATTAGTATTTTATAGTTCCCTGAAATGACATGTGCGCCGCTTCATCAGTAAATTTTGAAGCCCGTGAGCTTTGTGAAGTTCGTGGTTGTAACGATGTATAGCGCTTAAAACCTGAAACTGAGTCTTTTTCATTTCAGGGATTGAAATGTGTATTCGATTTGTGTCGGACTTGTTGTCACATCAAAGTAAATGAAGGAGTCACGGACTGTCGAGGTAATTACCAATGATCAGTGTTAAAATTTTATCGGATCGGCAAAATAAAAGTACACGACTCGTTCCGTCATTTCTGTTTCAGGACACCGAAAACGTTTAAAGAGACACGACGCTACTATTGTGAAAGAAGCTGTCAATGACCTCTCTACGAAAACCGATATTGAAACAGGAAGGGTACAGCAAACGCAGATTGTGAGCTAACATACATTTTATTGCACTTGCAAATATACTCTCCGAGTCATATGCTGGCAGACTGATGATAGAGGTTTCTTACTGCGATATACTTTCGTTGAGAATGATCTCATTGACAACTATACACGCGAGAATGACTATAGAAATTTGTATTAGTATGTAACCACCACAATGTGTTGAAATATGCTCTGTTCGCGTAAATTTGTTTCATCAATATTTCTTGAGGAGGACATTCGTGTCCAGTCCAAAATTGTAACACGGGACTTTGGTCAGCTGTTGTAGGGTTCCACAACTGTAAATGCACCGAGGTATTTGCACGCGACGGAAGATAGCTGTGATTTATATTAACTACCTTGAAAGACATTCCCATCACTCAGAGTTCTTTTTATCCTGTGCTCCAAGTTTACTTTGCAGCTTTTGTGCCAACCGTTACTCGTCAATGCTTTCTATTTCTTCTAGTTACGTATTAACCGATTTAAAATTCTCAGAAAATCTTACATTTGCTCTTGAATTACATTTTGAAAATGTGATCGAATTGTTGTTGACCTACTTTTTGTTGTTATTTCGAATGATGAATAAATAAAGTTGTGCGGCAGATATAAATATTAAAGTAAGCGATACTATTATCACGATACTATTTTATTTAAGAGATAATTAAATTGTAGATTATCATCAGGATCTTGTGGATAATTGTGATAATCGGAAAGTGAACCTTTAAGGAACATGATCTTATTCTGTTTGATACCGGCCCTTAACAGAGATAATTTTGGATTTTCGGAAAGTGTCGTTGTCTTCTGAAAACCCGCATTCAAAGGAACGAGTAGTATTTATAGATCAAAGAGTTCGACGGCCTCGGCCTGACCCTTTTACTTCTTTTAGTTGCCAAAGTTGATCGGAGTTGTTCACGAAGCTCCATACCCCTCAAGTGATACGGCAACGGACGCGAAAATTCTCTTCTTCGAAGAAGGTCTAACGTTTCATCGTCAGAGGTATCTACCGGTTCACCTCTTGTCTTGTCGATCCCGGACATTGGCGAAGATAAAGGTGTTGTCAATGAAGAAATGGCAATGTCATCGAGTGAAGAAGTCTCCTCTGGGCCACGTATACTAGAACAGTCGTCGTAGTTCATATTCATTAGAAGTAAAAACCGGATTATAAAAAGAAGCTCTTCATCTCGTTGCACTTCGTCCATTGCAAGTTTCT